CCATCCTGAAACTGCACAGCAGCCTGCATGGCTTCCTCCAGTCTCTCCACTCTCTCCTTCCAAGTCTTATTGAGATTCTCCCACGCTGAATTCACCTGGAAATATAGCATGAATACTTTATCATGATCGACATGTGGGTGACATATTCTAACCACATAGACAAGTGAAATCTCTGCATGTAATTATGTGGAGACCAATAACTAAGATGTGTTTGACAGTAATCTTTTACCTCATCAACACTTTTGTTTATCACGGGTTTGTCAGGTTCTCCACAGGCTGTCATAAGCTCAGCACCCTGGTTTCGAACCACGTCGAGCTCCTCCTGAAGCCCATCGATCTCCTCCTTAAATCCCTGCAGAATTGAAAAGCATTTATCAAAACAAAGAAATGCACCATCCCTCTTAATTACCCATTTGTTCTTTAATAACAACTTAATTTGAGGGACCTCTCTACCTCCACAAATTCCTGCTGCTGTTTGACGACGGAGGGATCGACTCCGGGCTCCTCCAGCTCCCTCAGCAGGTCCTGGCTGTCTTTGATGGTGACGATGAGAGCGCAGTGGTCGCACCAGAACTTGTCTGCCAGGTCCATCACATCCAGCAGCTTCGCCTCCCGCTCCTCCAGCAAGGCCTGGATGTCGTTCCACAGGAACACCATGTGGTCCAGCTTGTCTTGTACAGCTTGGACAGAGGAGAAGTCACGATTATGATGAAAAACTAAATAAACTGAACAAAAATCGCCCACATTCACGCTGAAAGGTTTAAACTCTGGTCAATGTTTTTCTTTTTTTATTCTAATGCCATAAAAGCTACAGAAGGCTCGTCCAGTGCACAGCATGTCAAATTCAAATCCAAACTAAATCTAAGACCTTGAGCCAATGATTGAAGGAACACTTCATTTGTTCTGATGAATAGTAGAATTACTATCAAGATCGGGCCAGTTATTGTAATCATTATACGCCTCTGATATTCTGGTACAGCTGACCTTCAATTATGCAATTTCACTTATTTCCCATGATTACTCTGTTATAGTAAAACCTCTACAACCTTCAAAAATCCTGTAAAGTCTTTCTTGGACTGTTTTTTATTTTATAAACACTGGATCATAAAAATGAAATAAAATTACACAGATAAGATGATGCAGTGTGTATTATACCTTTGGCAGATATGTCCTTGTCTGCTCCTTCGGATCGCGCAATCATCTCTTCGCCTCGTTGCTTCAGAGTCTCATAAGAGGGCTGCAGTTTCTCCAAATCCACAGAGACGACCTTATTTTCAGTAATCTGCTCCTTGATCTTGTCCACCTCCACTGAGATGGATGGAGGCTGGCGAAGGCGTTCAGCAATCCGTTCAAGGGATTCCAGCATGGGGTCAATTTTATCATGGAACTGGAAAACAAACAAAGACAACATTGCAGAATGTATTTACAATTTATGAAATTTCATATCAAACGATTTCTTTATCCATTTATAGACAAAATCTTTTGTAAATTATTGCCTGTATGTAAAGTAAAGACTGCATTTGGTCAATTAAGGCTAATATTTAACACGTCAGACATTTTTCACTATTTTCTGATATTTCATCGAATAAAGAAAAAAAAAAAAAATTGAAAATTGAAAGTGGTTAATACAAATTAAATGGGATCGATCAAAGATAAAAAAAAATAATAATAATAATTTGTTGCAGCTTTAATTTTAAATGATCAGACTTCATGTTTTAAATAGGAAAGCATGGACATTATGTACAATTATTTTTTTAGAAACTAACTATTTATGATCTCCATTTGTACTAGATGTCATAATATTCTTTTCTCAAAAAAAAAAATTTCACCATACCACACAAGTTTAGCTTAATAGAAGGCTGTTTTAATACAAATTTTAAAACCTTAGACAGAAATAATAAACAGCTGCTCTTCACCTGAGTGGACTTGGAGATGGCTTCGTCCAGAGTGGCAGCTCTCTGCTTGACATCAGCTTTGAGTTTGGTGTAAAGCTGGTCACTGGTTGAGTATTTCTCTCTGATGGGCACCCCCTCTACTGGGCTGAGCTCAAGTAACTGAGGTCCAGTCTTATTCATCTTGTCAATATGGGGCTTGTGCTCTGCAATCAGTTCTCGCATTTGCTGGAGAGGAAATTACAAATTCAGTTTAGCTTTTTATAATTTAAACTGAAGTGTTGCACCAATCCTCTGCTCATTACAGCTTCTTACCCTGAGCTCCTCTTGCTGCTGCCTCAGTGTTTCGTACTCGATGGCAGGTGGAGGCAACTGGCTGAAGGTGCCTAATGTTTCCTGAAGCCACGGCCACATCTCCTCATAGGTCTCCCAGAACTGATTGGCCAGAGACTGGGCTCGCTCCAGCTGCAGGCAGCGCTCTGAATTCAGCTGACTGACAACACCGTACTTCTCCAGGAGAGTCTGGGTCTTGGCCTGATTGAAAATCCAAAAAAATATCCTTTAATGTTTGCACATTTACTCAATAAATACTTGATTGTTTCAAATTGGAACTGATTGTTTTCACCTTCAAGACTTCTTTCTCCTCTGGGTTTTTGCTGTTTAGAATGGCCTTTCCTGTTTTAACAATCTCATCCACAGCATCTTTGTGCCTCATGATGTCCATGGAGAAAATCTGTAAAACCAGTAGAGTGAGTTTGGCTGGACGTCACAAAACAAACCACTATGTTTACTGTACTTTTGTTTAAATGGAGGCCTGTGTCTATCCACACACACACACACACACACACAGACACGAGCTAACCTTCTGTGCTTGGAGCTGGGCTGTGGTTTGGTCCTGCTCCAGCCTGATCTCGCCCATCGACAGCAACTTCCTCTCAGCTTCAGTCAGCCAGGAGAGTTCGGTGTCTGCAGCCTGTTCAAACTGGATGAAGCAAAGAAGATGAATTAAATGAAAAGAAAGAGAAAGACACAAAATGAGGAGGGAAAAAAAAGCAGATTTTTTTTTTGCATTTTTTGGTTTACCTGCTGCGACTTGAGTATGTCGGCGTTGATCTGGTCGACCTGCTGGGTGATGGTGTCGCAGACGGCTCTGTAGCGCTCATTATCCTCAGTCACCAGCTTGTCCAAACCCTCACGAGTGTGCCAGGGGATCAGATCCAGGAGCGAACTGCTGAGCTCATTCAGCTTGTCCAACACAGGTTTCTGATCTTTGGTCTCTTTCAACAAGGCCTGCAAAAGATTACATGACACGCACAAAACACACGCAGATGTGTTTTTATAGAGAAGGCCGCAGAGTGTTATCACTTGGTGTTTATCCCTTTGAAGGCAAACACAAACTTTTAAACGTAGAAAGCTTTACCTTCTGCCTGCTTTGTGAATGAATCAGCTGCTCGCCCACTGGCTCTTGATCGGCAAAAATGTTTATCTCAGCCTCTGCTGTCTCTAACCAGGAGCTCAGGTCTTCATGGGTGTGCTGCATCTTAGAAGAGAGACTCAGAACCCGCTCCAGTGTCTTCAGAACATTGTCGCTCATGGAGTTTATCTCAGCGTACTTAGTTTTTATCCCGTCCAGTTTGCCCTGAATAACGACCACCTCGTCACCTGTCAATAGAAAGTAAATGATGACAAATGCGTTCAGTGCTCTATCACTGTAGAGCTGATGATCATTTGCTTAATGCAAATATTCCATTTTACTCTCTTTTAATCTGTGCAATGGTCTTTTTAGTGCTTTAATTATTTAGTTTCTATCAATTGGTGTGTTTTAAATTTTGTGTTTTGCATTTATTATCTTTCTTTCACTTCACTTTTTGCTTCTCTGATCTTTCGTCTTTCTGTTTGGCCTGACTGGTTTTCTGTTGTAATACTGTCTTCCTCTTTCTATTGTTTGATCTGTCAACGTACTTAGCAAACTATGTTTTTAAAAGGTGCTATATAAATAAAGTTATTATTATATTGATCATTCTAAATATGTGCATCCTGTATGATTCTGTCAGTAGCCTTCTTGCTGACAGTTAGATTAGAAGTTTGATACCATTTTGTATATGTACAGTAGCTATAAAGCTGCTAACACATCCACAGCTCACTAATTAGCACAACATATCCTATTAAAATGTACCTATATCTTGGCCAGTCGAGGAAACAAAGTTCAGTGGTTAACTGGCAAAAAAGCAATAATAATGGCAAGACTTTAGAAAGTTAATGTGTTCATTATTGAGATTGGCGGTTGCTGATAGGTGGGTTCTCATATCATTTAAAAGAGCCTAACTGGCTGTTGGTCCCCGTTTTCAGTTTTGTGGTACGCTAAGCTAACGGGCAGCTGGTGGTAACTAAATATTTACTACACAGACCGGACAGTACTGATCTTCTCATTCAACTTTTACGAAAACAGCAAAGAAGTTGGAAGATGCAAAACTGACTTTGTCTTTGCTTACTGTTAAACTGCTCCTTAAATAAAGCAAAAAAACCTGACGATGTTTTTGTGAAGATTTAACTGTCTGTCCCCCTTGTGATAACGTGCCTGTTGTTTGCTTCAGCAGCTCCATCCCATTAGCGATGGCCTGGTCAACATTCTTCTTCCTCAAGTCAATATCACTTTGTAGCGCCTAAAAAGGAAAAACACAACCTCAGAGAGTCATCAAAAGCAACACGAAACGCTCCAATGTAAATAATGTCAACACATAAATTACTAAAATAAACTGAAATATGGTTGAAGCAACTTAAATGAGAACATAAAGCCTGGCCTGAGGAGGAGTGTGTACCCGTTGTTGTGTGAGCTGCTTTTCAAGAACATCTATTTTGTAGTCCTCCACGGACACTTCGCTGAGCCTCGCGTGCGCCTCGTTCAGCCAGTTCATGAGAGCCACTTCGTCCTCTCCAAACAGCTGGGCATTTGCCAGAGCTTGCTGCAGCATCTCAGCTTTCCTCCGGCATCGCTCCTGGAGCTCTATGTAACTGGCCTGGGTGGTGTCCAGTTTGGACTGAACAAACTCCTTGTCGTCCACTGAGCTGACGGTTTTGAGCATCTGACCCAGACTGACAGCCTGAAACAGGTCTTTACTGTGATTCATAATCTCCTCCTCTAAGGCCTGACCGCAGGGGATGATGGGAAACGGACCAAGAAAATGTGACACAAACAGAAAAAACAAAACGAAAAGATGAAACTGAAATTCAATAAAAAAGCGGAATGGGAAAAAATGACAAACACAAACTGAAAGTAACAAGCAAAATGAGTAAAACTGAATTCAGATGAACATAACCGATTGTGTCATAAAAAAAAACCCCAAAAACATGTGGTCATGATGTAAAACGATGGATATTACCTTATGCTGACAGATCTGATTGTCCAGCTTAGATGTTTCAGTGCCTATCGGCTCAGAGTTGGCGAGGTGTTTCTCTGTGGCTGCGAGCCACTCGCTCAGGGGCTCCAGAGTCTCGTGGAACTGCTGAGTGACCACTAAGATGCTCTCTAGTTGCTTGTGCCTGCAACATGCATAAAGACGGTGACAGTAGTGGATTAGAAATAAAATACAGACATACATTTAAATGGACAGACTGAGACATTATTTAGTAACCAGCCAACTAAACCTATTAAAAAATATATCTGCAATTAAAATGTATCAGCAACACTGTTTGGATATAAGTTTAAAAGAGTCACTATTAAATCCATAGTAACATTAAGTGTCACAACTCTCCTTTGTTGGTAAGAGAAGGTGCAAATTATGTGAAAACAATTTGGTTTTCATCTCTGTTCTGTGCACTGTGAACTCATCAACTTTAAAGGAGCTGTTTCACATTTTGGGAAAATGCTAATTTTATTCTTGTCAAGACTTTCTCCAAAAGATTGACGACTCTCATATCAAAATGGTAAATTTGAAGTTACTGTACTTAAGCTAAGCATAGCACAAAGACAGTGAACTGGGAGGAAACAACTACACAAATGTAACACAATCTGCCTACAGGTTCCTCTAAAGCTCATTATTAAATGTTAGAATGCATCAATAGACATGTTACATTTGTTTTTGTTTAATTAATACAAAACAATTTACAGTCAAGTTTGTTTTATGAGATGTTGAACAAATCCTTAAAACTTCTTTAGGAGGAAATTAAAGGCAACTTTAGCAGTTTGACAGACCTAAAAAGGTTTAAATATTTCAAAAAAAAGGCAAAATCACAATGCAACAACATTTATTTCTGAAACCTGCTGAAGCACTGCATTTAAAAGTGTGTTTTATATTACAGGTGTTTATACAGACCTGTTTTCAGCTTTCTTGAGCAGACTGTCCCACCTCTGCCCCAGGCATTCAATCTCTTTTGCAACCTTCTCCTTATCCACAGACTCTGCCAGCTCTGCGACCTTCCCTCCCTCCTTCTTTATCAGCTCCACTGTCGGTTTTCGGTCATCCAGCAGTCTCTGTAAGAGCTGTCAAAGGAAAACAAAGAGGGAGAGTTATTGGGCGCCTTTGTGGTGCGTCTTTCTGAAAAACAGTAAATCTAACAGGCACAAATTAGGTGTCCATTAAACAAAAAGCTTTGTGTACACACACTCAAGTTTAACAATGGATGTCAATTAAACAAGATGAATGGCAACGTTAATGCTGAGTGGATTTTTCCAGTGTTGACGTGTTAAGAGCAGAACTGCCGGTGGGTTCTGTGTATGTGAGTCTGCGTGTTTATGCATTTTTGCATCATGTGACACTGGCTTACTTTCTGCTCCTGTATCTGAGCCTTCACCACTTTGAACTCTGCAGACGGTGGTTTTTGATTGGCCACAAGCTCCTCAGTGTCGGTCAACCAGCTGAGCAGGGACTCCAGAGCATCCTGGAACCTCCCACAGTGCAACAGGGCTTCGTGTAGCTGGGCTGAACGCTCAGCAATCTGTAGAACACATGGCAAATATAAATGTCACCTGGTTTAAGGCCAACTTAAACTATGCCTGTAACACTATCACAAATAGTAGGAAGAAATGACTCATTACACTGCTCATATTTCTTACAAATGACCAGAATTCAAGAGCAAAGATCAACCAGGCAGACTGGTTGTAATATAATAAAAATAACCTTTTTATTGAGAGTATTCCACTTTGAGTTGACACCCTCCAGGTCATCTTCAAGCTTCTTAGTGCTGGTGCCTTTAGCAGCGTTCTGGACCAGGCCTTGGCCGAGAGAGTTGATGTCTTGAAGCTGTGTCTGCAATGGGTCAATGTCCTCTTTCTGGAAAGCCTAAAGACAAATAGAGCCAATCAGAATGAATCTTAATAAGTACTCAAATTACAGTGTCATCAGTCTTATTAAGTGGTGAATTTCTTTGTAATCAGGAAATGTTTGTTCACACTAATCAAATGAAATCTATAGTAGTATTGCTCAATATATTTTAAAAAAACCCCAAAGACTTCAGTGATGGATTTAATGGTTATTCCAACTGAACTTCAAACTAATCAGTTCAGAAACACATAAAAAAGCACAAACAAGAAAAAAATGGCTGATTTAAATTGAGATTTTGTAGCAAAATAAAAGCCTAAAATAATACCAAGAGTTAATTTCATTCCATGTCCAAAGACATGATTGCCACATCATCAACTCAGGTTTAGTGTTAAAATTCCAGCTGACATAAACAACTCTGTAACCAGTCAGCAGCTTCTAAAAAACCAGAGCTAACAGTTAAAGCACAGCTGTGCACAATCACACAGACAAGCTTCCAGGCTGGACTGCTGAGCAAAAACCTAATTCAGCCTTCAAGTAATCAGATATGTAAGAACAACACCAATCCAGCAGCCAGGAAAAACTCATCTAAAGAGACGTATCATCAAGAGAAACGTGTGCCGGACTAGCTAATGAGGAAAAACTCGTAAACAGACGGAGAAGCTATTTTTGGGCACCTGTGGGGAGAAATAACTGGTAGGGTCCATTTCAGGGCATGCAGCGATGGCATTCAATAAGGCCTCGATCTCTTGCTCCCCTGCATGCTGGAATGTCTGTAAACTTTTGGGCAGACAGGCTTCCAGCGACTGCAAAAACTCCTCCAGCTCCTCCATGTTGTATTTGGACGCTCCTTGTTGCACAGTACATGGTTTTGTTTGCTGGCGGCTGTCTATGGGTAGAGTTACAGAGTTTCCATATGTCTCAGGCTGCGTCACCACCACACTGACCAACTCGCAGTCATCCTGAGGTGACACATCCTCTAACAGCTCAGCAGTGGATAGCTCATCATAGTCCGTCAAAGTCCTGGAACGCCATCCAGAGGTGTCGTTATGAGTCCTGGAGGCTGACCCCGAGGACGACCTCCCGGTGGAGTACTTATATTCTCCATTGCTCAGCGTATCCTTCTCATTAAGCTTCACCAGACCAGATTCTGTTTGTCGTGGATCCTGGACTAAGCTGCTACTGTGGTAAAGAGACCGGTTCTCCCTCACAGGAGAGAAAGGGAAGTCATCCTGCCCTGAGCTGAGCGATCGCCCGGTTTTTAGGTCCCCAGACGTATGCATTGCCTCTGAAGATGAGAAACTCCTTGTACCAGGGCCTGTTCTTTTGTGGGATCTGTGGGCATGACGTTCTCTCTCCACAGTAGGACTATAAAGACCTGAGTCCTCTTCAGATGTCAGTGAGCTAGTCATACTCTGTCCTCTCCTGCCATTGATCAACCCAGGCCTCTCCACACTCCCAGAGCACAGTGTCCCACTGCGACTTGCATATTCTGACAAATTCGTTGGTGCAAAAGTCCTCCATGAGCGGCGATGATGGGGATGGTCCTTCTTCTCGCCTCCCTGCAGACGCGACTTAGGCAGCACCGTATCAGTGACCCTGATTATGTTCCCATTGAGTTTAAGTCCATCATAGACCGCACGCTCATCCAGCATGGCAGGTTTTCTGGTCCGGAGCTCGAATGAACTAGAAGGCGAGATAACTCCATTTCCACACAAGCTGCTAAGGTCTAGCGTACGGTGAGTATAGGGCAGGGTACCCGTGAAGTGCCGGGAGGAAAGGCTGCCTTTAGAGCCCGAGTCTATCTGCTCATTGAGCCGGACGGTGTCATAAATAGATCTCTGGGGCACATAGCAGTCATCAATGTTCAGGTCCTCCTCCTCCCCCTTCCCCACACAGGAAGGGTTTTGTCTGAGGCAATCTGGTCTGCTCAGCGGTTTGCCCATGCTAAAACAATTGTCACTCCTCACGACAAAGAAAAGATTAAGGATGTAGTGAAATCCTTTGAGGTACAGGTTGCTTTAGTGCACGTGGAGTAATTTAAAAAGGAGCACAATGTGGTCAAGTTACATGAAAAGCAAATGTGTGCAAAATAATAGTGTTTCCCCTCTCTTAAATGAGAAACTATCAAATGAATACCAAACATTTCCATCTATTTTCCAAGATGACATCTACAGTTGCTCATGAAGATTTTCTTCAAAAAATAGACACAATTAAGTTGATATAGATAAAAAACTAAAGCCTCTAGGAATACAAATGTGTCCAAAAAATATTTTAAAAATCCCAGGCAAATGCTAGGACTGTCAAACAGCTTTATACTCCATAAAAGGAATGAAAATCCATCCTTAAATACAGTCACCTATCCCAAAAATATTCCTGTCGGCTCTTCTCCGTGCATTGCCAAAACTTAATCACTATTCCTCTGATCCAAAGTGCTTCTTTTTCCCTGAAATCCTCGCAGCATCCATGTGAGCTGAAGGAAAAAATCTTCAGTGCAAAGTGAAAATATCCACAGACAAATCCAGCAGGCTCTACTAAAAAACTGTGGGCAGTTCTGAGGAGAGCTGGTACTCCTAGATAAACAAAAAAGCCTGCCCTTCCTCTCCCATCGCTCCCCTCGCACTGACAGACACCCTCCTGGCAGAGGGTTTCATGCCCCGCCCCCGCTCATTATTCAGACAACATCTGCCACAACTCCATTTGTGCTCGGAGCCGCTCCGGCACATGTTGATTGGTGGACATATGACCCTTTTTTCCCTTTCTAATTCCCCCTTATGTCTGCATGGCCCGTATGACTTCACTTCTAAGCCATCTTTTGCATCCTGACACAGTCACTCACTTTTCTTCTCTCTTTTTTTTTTTCTTTCAGTGACTGAGGGAACGGGGAGGGGAAGCAGTACGCATGAGCTTTTCCAATTCACACAGACACAAAGAATAAAAAAAATCAGACCAGCGAGCAGCTCTGATGACATCACGCTCTGCTGAAACAGATACACATTTTCACTTTTTTCTCTCTTTGCCCTCCGGTTTCCTCTGGTGGACGGTTGCTGTGGACCCTGCAGATATTCTTAATTACTGTGGAATGCTGAGGGAGGCACAGGTCCCAGGTAATTTAACACCGACGGCTCTGCCAAGTGCATGAAGGGGCTTTTATGTCCAGTGACCGGGGTAGCAGAAGAAAGGAGGATAGCGCAGATAATGAAAGGAATTTATTTTTGTTTCCCGGATTGTCTGCACCACGGTAGCGCAATAAAGAGCTGAACAAGCCCAACTTCTTTGTCCGGTTCCGCGCGCATGAGAGGAGATGGAAAGAGGGCGCTGGCAAAGATAAATAAGCAGTTACGATCAGATGGGATTTAAAAAGAAAAGAAAAACAGAAAAAACAAAGGATGTTCAGCCACTGAAACCTGGATACAATTTTAAATATTCGGTCTTTTGAATGAATGAATACAAATTATTTTTCTGGCTGCTGCAGGTCTCTTTTTAACCTTCTGTTACATACTTGGTGAACTTTTCATAAATTGTGAACACTGTGTTTCATTTCAGCACTAAAGGGCAAAAGTTGAGGAGACCGAAGAATGATGAAAGGACATATATTTTGGTGAAACAGCTGAACAAAGCTCTGCCTGCCTTCCTTGCCTGTCTGCCTTTCTGTCTGTCTGTCTGTCTGTAACAGATTTCTGGATTATTAACTGATTTGTTCTGCATGCTTTCTGAAACACATATTCAACTATATATGCTGTTTGTCACCATACACAGTGAGGGATATTTCTATTATCAATAAATCTGCATCACGATCATCTATATTAATCGATGAAGTCGAAGATAGTTGCAAATCATAACAATTTCAAGTGACCAACAGATATTTACGAACAAAAAAGGCCAATAATCAAAGCTAGACTGAATGTTTGGCATTTTCACTCCAATGACTTAAATAAATCTAACAAATGACTAGATAACACTTGCTAAGGCAAATTCAGTTGTTTTCTAGCAAACCAAGGAGGTTGACACTCTTTTCTTTAGAAGTCAGCTGATCATCTGAGGAACAAGACGTCTAAAACAACATCTAACTTGCTACTTTAGGTGGTGTTATCGCATTCAAACTGGTTTTCTGTCATGTACAGTTGAGGACTGATTGTCACTTGGAAACAAACACTTGAAAACTTCGACAAGCAGAAATCTCCACATAATCGCCTCACAGCAAAGCAGTGTATGCTTGTATAGCGACCGGCTCAAAGGAGTTTCACATTTCACTTTATGGAGAATGTGTCATTGCTCTGTGGCGGCGTAAGCAGAGTAGGCAACACTACGTGGTCCCAATGACACATTTGTATCATCACCTTCAATGAATTGGAGTAGCTACAGTATGATTCAGATGGTAAAAATTCTTTTTGAATTGCAAAAGACACTGATGTAATGTCTGAACAGAGAGAAAAGACGCCCACGCCAGCTCCGAGTAGTGTTGAGTCACTAAATCTAACCGTTAAGGTACAGCTTAAGATATACATACACCAGGCGCTTCTGCGCTCCGGAAAAAAAAATCAAGTGAAAATCAAGAGTAAACACAAGAAGTCAAGCAGGTCTCTTTCAAAACTTGACCTAAAATGGTAACAGCACACGAGACGAAACCAAGTGCTGTCTTTCTGTGTTTATTTCTTTCTCAATAGCTGCCAATAAAGCCCACTTACCTACAGCAACACTGGTTTGGTTCACTGAATATAAAATATGACACAATCATCAAAAGTTTTCATGCTGCAGCTAAATAAAGAAGCAACTCAAGTTTCAGTACTAGTTTGCTGTTTGTGAAAATTCTTCTCCTGATGCAAGGCATTGCTACAAATGAGTACAAAGAGGATTTTCCACCAGCAGCTGAGGCCGTCTTTGCCCCCTCGACCCAGAGTGCTGACAGGACAAAGAGTGGGTAGAAACATGGACCATGACAATGCTGCTTAGCAACAATTTGAATCAATCACCTCTTTAATAGTTACCCTGTAGGGCCTTGGAGCCAAACTCCACACAATAAGCTGCCACTTACACTCTTACTGCCCTAATTATGTTTTAAGATTATTTTTATTAGTAAAGACAGACAGGAAATATGGTAAACGAAAGCAGGGAATGTCATGCAGTCAAGGTTTGAGCACTCGGGAATCGAACTGGGGTCTTGCTGCTGATGGCATTTACACCCATGCCCTAATCACTAAGCCATCGGGTCACCCCCCAAATGATAGTTTAATCCATGAATCTCAAATGGAGGGCTGAATGCTCCCCTCTTACATGAGTGCAACACCCCCTTAATTAAAAAAAAAAAAATCCCTTGACCTACATTTTAGAACGGATCTGCTGCTATTTGCCTATACACAGCTGTTTACATTGTTTTATTGTCATACCATCTAACATCGTTTCACCTCTAAATATAGGTTAATCCTCTTGAAAAACTCCACAGGAATTTAGGAGCTTTCAAAATATTTTGCATCTGTCTGTAAATCTTGCTGATGGCTAACCTTTGGGTTATCCCCAAATAAAATCAACAAAGGCACGGATGATTTTATGAACAATATAGAGAGGAAGAGGAATTGAAAACAGACCATTAGGACAATTAGGAAGCTGTGTGGTATGTTTGTGATACTGCAACTATGTTAACTTGCATAGGATTTTCATGCTTAATCCAAAAAAAAATCCTAATACAATAGGCAAAAGCCTGGAAAATAATCCACAGACCTTGAGATTATAATGTTCACTTGCATGGACTGTTTTACACCAGCTATGCAAGCTGGTACTTCTGTCTATTAAAGTTTGTATTGTTAACATCTTTCTGCAATTTTTTAACATGCACACAAAAGTGCAGTATTAACCACAATAAATACATAGTAGCTTTGATTTCTAGATGATCAAAGTGAATGATTAACTGCTAGCCTTATTGGGTGTACAACATTCGACCCTTTATTGCACTAAACTGAGCAGTTTAAATTAACAGTTGCACAAGCCTGAATAAATGTTCAGCCCAGAATTAAATACTACAGGGTTCAGGACATTTTAACAATCATAAGAAACCAGTATACCTGTAGGTTTCTAAGACAAAAAGGTCAGAAAAAGCCAAGCTTAGAGTTACAGATAGAGTCCAGCTGCGAAGGTTCAGAAGAACCATATCAGTGTTAAGAGATCAGGATGCAGGCTCAGCTTCATTACTGAATCAAATGACACCCTGCTGGTAACCACCTGGCTGCGACGGTCCTTCCCTCTTGCCCCATCATTGCATATGGACCCCAGCTCCTTTTGTTAACACCAGATGCCCTGAATGAACCCACAGTCCCCAGAGGATTGCAGCGTATGTAGCAAGTGTGTTCAGTGAAGGGCCTGTGGGTAGCCTTACCCTATGTAGGGTTTTGTAAATGGACAGCATTGAAAATGTGGTTTGTAGATTTGTAAAGTTTAAGAACATTTGTTAGTAGGTTACAACTTAGGCTAGGTGGTTTATATAAAAAGAAAAGCAGTGTTTGTCAGTAGTTGTCCATATGAAAATCAAATAGACACTTTATCTACTGGTGACAATGCTTGGGCTGAATAAAGGTTATGTTTGAAAACTGAATCACAGCCACAAAAATTAAAATCAAGTGTATGCACCCTGCAAATTTGTGTTTTCTCATAGATCTAATCAATTTTATTTTATTGTGTTGATTAAAAGGAATGGAACTATCTACTTAAATTGTATGTAAGACAATACTGTTAGAGCCAAAATTTGCAAAAAAAAAAAATACAAAGGAAGCATCATAAATATCATTCTATAGACTACCCTTAAGCAAATTATTAATATTATATGTCCACCTTATTTCCACAAACACATACTTAATGCATGTTGCTTCTTCAAATGTAGTGATTTAAGAGGGATTATTAATTTACACACAATAGTTGTTAACTTTTGGGAAACCAGTGTAGTTTCTGATCAAACTAAATTAGATTCAGTGTGTGAAGAGGTCAAAAGTGGTCAATTATTACCAAGTTCACTACTGTAGCAGCTCCTGTTGATCCCCAGAGAGCCCAAAACAAACAGGTGCAAATGTAATGTGGAGTCAGTTGTTAACATCAACCTGCCATGCTGCAATTTCACATATATTCAATCATACATCTGTTTCCTTTTCCCCACCAAAGGAATGAAAATGAAGCATTCAATTAGGATCAACATACCTTAAAGGCCTCCAGCTGTTGGTTGATCACATCTGTCTCCATGCCAACTGCCTCCTGGGATGCCTCCTTGTCCACAGCTCTGCCGAGTTTATCCTCCACTTGATGGAGTTGACCATACAGTTCCTCCAGCTTGGTGAGAGTGCTCTGCACCTGGACCTCTCTGCCTTTGGCTCGGTCCAACAGTTTGCCACACTGCTTACTGAGAGCATCCAGATCTCTCTTCAGGCCTAACAGGTCGGGTGATGACTCAGACTCCAGCATCTTCTTGCAGCTGTCTCCAGCATTGGCAGTGTTAGCCATCAGCTCTTGCAGCTTAGCCACAAAACTCTGAATGCCGTCTTGCTGTTCTTTAAGAGTGGCCAAGTCAAGATCCACAGGAGGCATGCTGTCCAGCTCGTCATCCAGCTCTGTGAAACGGGTGAACATCTCTCGGATGCTGTTTTGGAACTGTCCAATACCCTGTAATTTCCCCTCCAATACTTGGCATGTGTCCTCGAGCTTCTTGTTAAGGTTGCTGTAGTCTTTTTCTACGCTGTCTGCTTGCAATAAGAGGTCCGTCACACCTTCAGCATCTGGCACGTCCACCACAAGGTCCTTGGCCAAAGCCTTCATGTGCTCTACTTGGTTCTGCACTCCTTCTAAACTCTTATGCTGGGCTTTCATGTTGGTTAAGTTCTTGTTGCTATGTCCATGCACTCCCTGTGATTCATAGGTATCTACTTGCTTCTTAGCTCCTTCCAGCTGACCCTTTGCCTCTTTGTAAGCATCATTAAATTCCTTAACTGTGTGCGAGAGCTTCTCCAGGGACTCCCTTTTGCTCTGCAGACCTTCCAACACATTGTCCACTCTTTTGCCAATGTTAGCCTTCTCTTCTTTTATAGCTTCAGTGTCCGTGTTGGCCAGCTCAAGAAGGCTATCTGCAGCCGTGTTGAGCTGCTCCACCAACCCTCTGTGCTTGTCGACATCCTTCTGGAGAGCTTTCACCTGAGAAATTGAGCTCTCTACAGCAACGGGGTCGACGGTGAGTTTGACTCGGCTCTCACTAGCTTCACACTCCTGAATCCAAACGCTCAGCTTCTCTGCTTGCTCCTGATACTTCTGAGATCTCTGAAGAGCAGTTTGGAATTTCTCAGTCTGCTCCGCGGAGCTCTTCTTCACTTCCTCCCAGTTGGAAGCGAGAGTAGTGAGCTGCCCTTGTAGCGCCAGCTTTTCGGCACCATCAGTGTCGTGCAGAAGCAGCTCTCCTTCTCCAGTGATTGTATTATAAGCATCCTCGTGTTCACTGAGAGCCTTCTGGAGTTTACTGTGCTCCTCCAGGGTTTGTTGCAGAACATCCACTTTGGCAGAGATGGGCAGAGGCTTAGACTGGTCCTGGAGCTTCTCACCCAGCCATGACTGGAAGTCTTTGGAGGTCTGATGGAACTGCTGAGAGCTGGCAAAGGTTGAGTTCAACTGCTCGATCCGCTTTGCTGCAGAAGAAAAATAAGGGAATTGGCAAATGAAATGCTGTAACATCTCTTATGCACAAAGTAGAGCCAAAAGATAAGAAGGAACATTACTGGACATTTCTGACATCATGTTCGTAGTTTCTGTTGTTAGCCATCTATACTAGATGTCAGAGATAGCATGAGTTTAATTTTTTATTTTTTTTTAAACAGTCAAAAAAAGCTTTGACAAGAGTTTGAATACACCACAAGTGCAGTTGTGATTACGACAATGTATCCAGTTGGGAAGTTTTAGCCGCAGTGACTCAACACAAATAAAATGGTTCCTCCTTTCCAAAAATTACAAGACCACATTATTAGGTTAAGTTAGAAGGCTAACCTGCTTTCTCCTCCAACTGTCTGAAAGGCTTGCTGACACTCTCCAGCTGCCTGGCCAGGTCTGCTTTCAGATAGTCCTCAGTCACCATTGCTGTGAGCTCTGCATTGATGGTCTCGGCCTCCTTCAGCTTCTTCCTCTCCTCTCTCAGCTGAGTGGAGATGTTTTGTACATCCTCCAGCTGCTTCTTCACAGCGTCCGGTTGAGTGCTGTGGCCCTGATGGTTTGTGAGCTGATTCTCCAGCTGAGTGGCAGTGTTGCTGAGACTCCTCAGTAACTCCTGAAATTGCCCTGTCTTCACCACTGCCTGGTCAATGAGGCTGTCTCGCTGGTCCAGCTGTCCAGTGAGGCCTTGCCACTTCTGCGTGACTGCAGCGAGCTGCTCCTTCACCAGCTTCCCACTGGACGGGTCCTGGTTACCTGATGAGGTTAGGATGGCTGAGGCAGCTTCCTCAAGTTGCTCATATTGAGGTTTGCGGCTCTTAAACTCATTTTGGAGGATCTGGAGTATGGCATAAAAAAACAGTCAAGCTACACATTCCTTAAAAACATACACAGGAGTCAAATCATTGCCAACAACATGCACCTGAACTTGTTGCTTCTGCATTTTGAGCATGTTTGGGTCAATCGAGAGGGGTCCAAGGACACTCATCATCAGCTCCTTCTCTGACAGCCACTGGCCGAGCTGCAGCTCAGTTGTCTGGAAGATGTCCAGATTCTTGTTGGACTGCTCCAGGTGCTGCTTCCTCTCCTCTACAGAACCACTGATTTCCGCCCAAGCAGCATCTGAACAGGAGGGCAGGATGGACAATCACACGAGTCTGCATTAGTCAGCATAACAACACCTTTCTGTCCTCTGTCCTGCTGTTCTCCCAGCTAACCTCCCACTGTGCAGGACTTGGCACCATGAATGTGTTAATTTAATCGGAGTAACAGAGCGCAGGTACTAATATAGGGTCATATTCAGTTAGCGTGCATATATGTGGTACTATCAGATGACAAGATAGACACCAGGATTATAGTCCGTCTAATGTTTCACAGAAACATTAACTCAAAGACCAGTGCCATAATGAGACACATTTTTTGTCAGTGGGATTCGACATACTTCTGACAGTCTCAGTGACATAAATTACCCAGGGCCATCTGGAGCCAACACCTTGGTGCATACCTATTTCTGCCAGCATCTGCTTCCATTTTGCTGCCTCGGGGGAGTTTGGATGCGTCTTAATCAAATTGAGAAGCTTCTCCCTGAGCTTCTGGAGCTGCTCCTCCTTTTGCTTCATGCCATCTTCGAATGCCTGAGAGAGTAAAACGAATCATGAATACTGAGTGATTTTCCCAGAATAGTGACTCTCATTCACAGAACAACAAAGTCAGTGAGGAAAGCGTGCACTTTTGGAACATAATTAAATGTAACAGTCCATTTGGTGAGTAACAACACTTCTCTACCTTCTGTTGCTCAAGCTGTGTTTTCACCGAGTCTTTCCCTGTGACCGCGTTATTCCAGGACGCTGCAGTCTTTTTCTTGTCCTTCAGCCATGTCATCATTTCCTCCGTCTCCTTCTGGGCCTCTTTCACCTCCTTCACCAGACTGCTCAGCTGCCCTGCTCTGTTCTTCAGTGTTTCCCCAAGGTTTGTGTATTCCTCATTGACGAATGACATGTTCTGCTGAATTACCATCAGCTCTGGGTATAATAAAAATAATTCTGTTAAGTTATCTTACCAGGAATTTATAGTCAGAGTGCCATGATGAGATTATGATAATAGTAAGGCGTTGTTAATATATTAACCTTATGGTACAATATGTTCAGAATATGAATGAGAAAATTATTACTAATTCCCTGCAAGTGGAATTCAAGAATTTGTGGCCGTGTGTATAACTGTAAGCGTTACAATGACTTATAACAGAAAACACTAAATTCAATAAAAGAGGCACTGGGCCTCGTGCACAAACCTCTTTTACAAGCAGATTCATTGCTAAGTGGCATGTTCTGAGAAAGTAGAACTTGTTCTTTTACAAGTAACACCCAGTTAATGTTTGACTTTGATTATAATGCCCTAATCTAATTAAATCCAGGGGTTTTTTTGTTTCAGAAACCAAAAACATAAAAATAAGAAATAAAACAAAGAACGTAGTGAGATGTTTTTGGCATCCGACTTAATTTCAAAGCATCACTTCTTTATGCATGTCGTAATCGGACTTTGCAATGATGTAGCACATATTTGTTGTGACTATCACATGATTTTTGTACTGAAAATTGTGCACAAAGTTTGTGTTTGCGATCAAATGTGCACAAACTCATACACAGATGGTTGAAAAGGGTGATTCATAACAATGTGATTCAGAACAAGTACACAGAAAATAACAAGAAAGGAGTAACATAATATGAAAATGTTCTTGCTCGAGGCCAATTGAACATAGTCCCACCTGATCTCATCTTATATCCTTCGTGTGTAGGTGAAAGGAAATTTTATCCCTTAAATTTTGATTAATGTATGAAAAATGTTGATAGAAAAGAACTCATTCTGTATGGAGTTTGGTAAAGACACAAAACCTCGGTGGTGCGTTTAGAAAACAAGAAACTTGTTGTCTTTGTTGCCGTAGCTGTAATATTCATAATCTGAACACATTGTTACTTTGAAAACAACCGAGTCACCACAGCCAGAGATGTGTTTTCAAAAACAACAGCAATACAAAACAACATGGTGTATTTATAAAGCAGCATCCACATACACACTGGTTTACCTTTATTGGTTAGGTAGGTATGACTTGCTGGACCACCACCATTAGTAAGAGCTGATGCAGAGACATAAGACAAAAAGCTTCAAGTCAAGAACAAAGAGACCGACTCCATGACCTCTAATGGTTAGTGACTATACAGTCCTCAGAAGTGAACCCAAACACCATGCTTCCCACTCCACTGAAGGACTCAAAAACATAAAACTGATGTTTACCTGACTTATTAGGCGTCTTTGTCTTGGCAGGGGAGGTGAGAAAAGTGATCAGGCTGCACAGAGCTGATCCTTTACTGTTCAGGTCTTGGACAGCAGGGTCTTTGGCTGCCCATTCATCTAACAGTCCCTGATGGAGCATTAAATAGAGAGATAAATAATAAATAACAACATGAAAAAAACAGCTGGCATTTATAACACATAGTATCCAGTGGTGATGTCTGAAAAGCACATAAGAGAAACAGGAAGAAAAAAGACCTGGCATCCACATTTTGGGTTATATTACCACAGTAGTTAATTTTTCAAAATTGTTTTTATTTTCATTATTTGATTATATATTTTATCATATATTTTTATTTTATTTATATTTTTTAAAATAAAATCAAAAACTAAAATGCATAAAAAATGCAAATCAAACAAGAGCTTGGGTCTTAAGAGGTTAAAGGACTTTTCATTCCACATGTGCTTTTCAGGATGTCTTTTCTGTAACATATTGCGAAGAAAATAGTCTCCCTGCTGGACGACACAGTGTTTCACTCCTGGATCAGTCTTGTATAAACACTTACAATTCATCTGTCATTAGCTGGCAGAGAAAGCAGGTTGGTATCGTGGGGAGTTTAGGGAGGACAGGGCTGTTATCTATTAAAAGACACTTACATGTATCTATTGCTAAACACGTGAACTCTAAACCGCTGTGTGAGATGCAAAGTAAAACATCGGTGACTTCTGTTGCAGCATCCTGAGTGCAGTTACATAAAACATATGTAGGAATAACACTGTCTCTGTAATATACTTTTTATTTATCTCATGACTCACAGTGACTATCTGCAGGTCTTTTTCCAGGCTTTTCTCGCTGCTGCTTGGCTGAACCGCAGGCACTTTGTCATTGGTCTCCTCCAGCCACTGGGTGAGCGCACTGGCTGCTGATCTGAATTCTCCCAGCTGGTCCTGACAGGACGATAGCTCTTCTTCCCTACATTAGACGAAGGAATCAGTCAGACCACGCATCCTTTTGTACATTACCGAAACTATACAAACACTAATTCTAAGCAAAATTATATGTTGTTAACTTTTAAATGTGGAAACACAACTTACTTTTCTTTGACAGTGTCTTTGAAGGTGCTGAAAATGTTTGAGAGGTTGTCCATCTTGCCCTGAATCTGGACTTTGTTCCCATCAGGGCTTATTTCAGACAGCTCCTTGGACAGAGTCTGCAGCTTCTCCAAGTCACTGGCACATTCAGCCATCTCAGATTTAGTGCTCTGCAGTGAAATTAAAATGGTCAGCCACACTATTTGGTTTAAAAATACTACACATATTACACAACTGAGAGATATCAGCTGTATTCACTGACAGGTGTAAACAGTGTCAATAGTTCACTCGCCTGCATCAGCTGAGATAGTTCATTGAAGGTCTTCCCTGGCCCGTCTGTTTCGTGCAGATCTTGTGAACGCTTCACAACAAACTGCTGGACTTTATCTGCAACGTTCTCAAACTGTTCCACTTTTTCTTTCAGTTGCTCCAGTTGGGAAACTTTTTGCTTATGTTTGTCGCAGGCGTCAGAGAAGCGCTGGGAGAGACCATCCATCTTTGACTGCAGAAGCGCAGCGTTAGAGGGATCTGCTGTCTCCACAAACTTCTTCACCTTGGCTTTCATGGCTGAGATGCTGCTCTGGCGACTTGCTATGTCCTGCTCTAATGCCTTAAAAAACAAGAAGGACAAGAGCAAAGTTTTAATGGATGATTAAAGTGAATATGGAGCTGCCTAGAAACATACAGTATATGGTTATTAGACTGCTGAAATAATGACATACTGCTTCTTTGCTGAGGATGTCTCCAATAGACGCAGAGTCCAGGGGTATTTGCTCTTTCTCTTTCACGCTGGCCTCCACTCCCTCCATCCATCCCATCATCTCATCCAGACCATCCTGGACACTCATGGAGCGAGTCAGTGTGATCTGCAGCTTCTCATTTCTGTCACTTACAGACTTGGACAGGTTGTCGTAGCGCTCCACTATGTCGTCTATAACACACAAAAACAAATCAGGTTCCGTTTCAAACAGAATCATTCCTCACTGCCCGGAACAGGTAAACATGTCAGACTAAAGACAAGATTTATTTTGCATGTGTGAGTTTATTAAAACTGTAATGTTGGAGAGTTTTATTGGACAAGTCACAAGTTTCTTGGCTGATATTCTGTAAGACTATGACATTTGTTAATATCAAGTTGCACTTTAAAATTCTTGATTCCTAAAACGTTCCAAACAATTTCACTTATGTTTCCTTGTCTGCCATCTTTCAACTTGCTTATTTAGAAACCCTTACATCCTAATCCCAGTATTATTGCATGAGTCATGGTACTAAAGTCGCTCTAGTCCCAAGATATTATGTAAACAGAACATGATGTGCATCTGACTTTGATCTTTCCTCACCCACTGTCTCCTGGATCTCATCTGGGTTGCTCAGCAGGTCTCCCTCAGACGATATCAAAGACTCAGCTGTTTTACGTAACGTGTCAATAGCAGTCTGATGCCCCATCATCTGACCTTGTAAAGCCTGCAGATTAAAAAAATAAGAAGTTGGAAAAAGTAAAACCTCATCCTCCCATACACGTGCCAAGATGTATTGAAGATAATAACTGAGCGATGATGTAAAAGAATGTCTGGGTTTAATTTGGGGTCATTCCATAGTTAAATGCACCTGTTTGCTTTGACTGTTACACTTAAAGAAAAGCTTAAGGATTTCTTCAGTGATTTGTATTCCAAGTCCAAAAATGCTGTGTTCATTGGTTGGCTTGGAGGCGCCTCTTATCTGCACATATCTATGCAGTAAGTCACTACCTCCTCTCACAGAAATGTTCAAGCCAACTAGAGCCAAAGGTTTGACAGAGACAGCTCTGTCAGCCGACTTTCTTATCCTCTCGTAGGAGTATGTAAGCTGCAAATAACTGGACTTCAACTATTCACATGTGGGTTTGAATTTTTAAACGCAGAGCTAAAAATAGCTTTGTTGTACTTAAGTCAGTGGAAAGACTGTATATGGTAAGGCAGGTCCATTGTGCCATGACCTTCTAACCCAGTCAATGCTCCAACTTCTACACATGTTACCTCTTAATAAAGCCATTCTTTATGCCTTTGATTGGATCACTCATGACCTAACATCTATTAAAGTTCATACAGAACAGAAAATTATCATAAAGACAATATCAGTGTCTCACAGGGATAAATCAAACACCAGCTTTTCTTTGAAGTTTAACTGTAAAAACCAATTAACACTGACATTTACTGCACTGCATATGACCCCCGTTTGGCTTCAAGAATAACAGAGGCCTCATGGAAAAAGAAAAGCATAACAAGATTTTAAAAAAATCTATGGTAAGTTTGAGCTTTCAAACTGAAAATTCTGAAGCTGGACCTGATCCTAGGACTAATTACTTCACCCTTGGCTTTTGTTTCTTGCCTTAGTCTCCTCCAGCTGTTTCTGTAGCGTTTGAGGATCAGCTGCTATGGCCTCTGACTGCTGCTTTCTCGCCTCGTCCTCTGAGCTGTTGAGCCACTTCGAAAGACCGGCGCTTGAGTCATCATACTTTTTGTATTTGTCGACCACATCTTTGAGGTTGTTTCCAAGCAGATTGCACTAAAACACAGGAGAGGAAATTCATTTGTATACTCAGAAACTGACAGATCCAGAGTGCTTACAGAACGGTTTTCAACCAAGACAAATGCTACCATCTAGTGGTAAGAACAAGCCACTACAACGGATGTCTATCTCATTAGCTCAATACCTGTGAATGTAGTGTTTTGTATCGACTGGCAGCTGCATCTAGTTTATCCTTGACAGCAGAACAGGTCCCTGAAGTATCCACGTGCAGCGGAGCATTGTTAGCTGCAGATTCAGCCGATCCACAGGCTTTAGCCACGTCCAGCACCTTCTGTCCCGAAATGGTGATAAAGCGAAGGTCGCCCTTGTGGGAGATTACATCTTCTGAGAAGCTTTTCTGTCGCTGAAGTTTGTCACTGAGGATATTTAGGGAGCCTGCAGGAGCACCCAGCTCCTCAATCTCTCCTTCAGCCTGGTTTAACCAGCCTTCAAACTCCTCACAGTCATCCTGGAACTTCTTCAGCTCCTCCTGGACACACTGCACCTGCTTCATCTGCTGCTCGGCCTGAGTCAGCGAGGCCTCGTAGCGCTCCTTCAGCTCTTGGATGTTCTTCTGCAGCCTCTCCTTCTCCTTTGGAGACAACACATTAGCTTGTTTGTCAAGGAGGGCCTGAGCTGACTGGGTGGCCATGATCAGATCCTGCTGCTGGGAAAGAATTTCCTGATGACGGGCCTGTGGGAAGAAGAACAGCAGAAATTATTACTGCTGTTATTATTTAAACCTTGAGCCTCTTATGCTCTTTTTTGTGTCTTTCCATTTGTCTACCTGGCTTTAAATAGAGTCCTGCAGAAAACATTTTAAGATTCCAATTGTTTGTTTTTTTTGTTCCTTCTTTATTCTCAGTTTTTAAGTCTGCTTGATACTATTAAATTACAGTGGTACTTAATTTTGGATATATTGCATAACTTCTTTCTACATTTTAGAATACAATCCATCTGTTCATCTCAATTTCTTTGTCAAATTTCCTTTTTTAACAAAATTAATTTTAAAATAATAATAATAATCATAATTAATTTTACAATGAAATTAACTTTGTAGCTTTGTCCGGCAATTTTGTTGTACAGTTACTGACCTTTACTGGTTAGGATGTATAAACTGTCTGTGGATAGAGCTGTGTATTTTCAAGAATCTGACAACATGCATGACATTAAAGTGAACAAAAAGTGCATTTGAATTTTGCACACAGCACTATTTTTTTACATTCTGAGCAAAGGTGATAACATTTAGCTCAATAAAATAAAGGAAATAATAAATACATCTAAATCAAAAATCAATTCTGTGTTTCTGAGAAGCACCACAGCATCACAAAACATGATGCTCACTGCGATACTCAAGTGTATCGATATTTTTTACACTCCTACTATGGGCTTTACGATTTTATTATTTTATTTTGAAAATTTCTGCATTTCATTGCAGATTATGTCTCTCAACGTTGCATATTTTTCATATGATTTGCCTGAAGTAATGCTCTAGCATTAATATTAAAGTGTGAACTCGTGAGAAATAAAGTCAGTACTATGAATGAACTGCTACGAACTGTGAACTTTAGGGAATTCTTTAAAGACAAATGCTCAATTTGCAACAAACCAACCATACCTTGACCATGTCATACTGCTTGTCGAGGTCCAGGGATGTGTCGTTCTTGCCCTTGTTTTCTCTGCCAGCATCGTTTTCAGTGGTCTGTAAAGCGTTTCCATTTGCATCATCATCCTCTCCTATCAGCCCCTTGGCCGAGGTTTCCTCTGGCAGGTTTCCATTCTCTTTACTTATATGGTCAGTCTGATCCAGTCTACTGCTGTTTTCATTCCCTATGTTGGAAATCCAGTCCAGAAGACCTTCGATTTTGTTCTTACTTTCTTCAAGTCTTTCAACAGCTGCAGCCTGCACAGACAGACCACACATTAACAACGTTGATTTCACTGTAACTTACAATTCACATAGTTTTAACAGACAACACATATGGAAGTAATCTGAACCTTTTCGCTCTCCTGTTTTATGGCTGTTGTAACAACCTTCTCCAAATCTTTTCTGGACTCCTCAGCCCGCTGGTTGATGAGCTTGGCTTTGCTTTTAGCCTCTTCCAACTTGCTTTCAATAATGGCGATTTGATCAGGCATCAGTTTGCTTCGGTTTTCCTCCAGAAACTTTTTAGTACTGGTGATCACCTCATTTAAGGCACTGGCATTTGTCAGTACGTCTTTTTGCAGAGCCTTGAGATCAGACAGGCATCAAAGCAGTTTTTAATTGATGTGCACATATTGTAACAGGTTCCTTTTTTTGGTGAGGAAAAACAAGTGAAAAAATATATCAAACCTGGTGCTCCTGCTGGTACTGTTGCAGGTCTGTGACGCTCTCAGCATTGTCAGCCTGCTGCTGATGACCAATCAGTCGGTTCTCTGTCAGAGTGAGATTATCACACACTTCCTCCAACTTCTCTGTAAACTCCTTGTGTCTCTCCAATACAGACTGACCAAAAAAAAGAGCAAAAAGCACAAGTTAACACCACACTTGACTACAATAAGCCTGTCATTAGTCAGATTCATGTCCATTCTTAGGAAAACCTTCACATAGTATAAAGCTCAAAACCCTACAACAGTGTACACATGGAGAGTTATCGCTACGGTCATAGCAGCTCAATCAACATTTGGAAATAGTGATATCAAAGCAAGGGAAGAGAAATGTTTCAAGCACATAGAGGTAACATGCAAAATCCACTCTAGAAGACATTTTGTCAAAACCTAGTATGCTGTAAACATGCTGTTTTGCCACTTTGGTTTCATGATTGTGGCACGCGCAAGAGGACATTATATTGTGTGTTAGTGGGTTTGCTGTGTCTAAAAAGGTTCCAAGAAAGAGGGTGCATTTTGTCCACTGTTATTTGCTCACTGGGGTCTTGAGGCCTGTAGAATACAAGCAGCACACAAAGGTTAGTCTGCAGCAGTGATCCCGCACTAGAGCATGCAGTGCTGTTGTTTCGCAAAACATGTCGGCATTTACATTGAAATCTCTCATTTTCAACCCTGGGAATGCAAATCATTAAGTCTGACTACAATACACTAAAGAAAACACACAAAACATCTAAAAAAAATACAATTTTCAATTCAAATCCATGTAAAAACAACAGAGAATTCCAACATTTGTATAAAATACCCTGTATATTTTTTGTAGTGAAAATAGTTGTTTTCAGGAGCTAAATTTCCATGTGTGAGACTAATATAATGTATTAGAAAGTACAAAAAAGTGTGTCCAATTGCTGTCAATCCACATAAACCATATGTGGGACTAATGTTGCTAAAAATATGTTGATTTTCTTTCTCTTAATTTTTCAAGATAAATTAAATAAGACTAAGATACTGTGGGTTAACCTACTTTTACATCATTTCGAACAAATTACAGTGGAAGTGCTTACACCTGACCAGTACCATAGTTTATACAGCCCCGACTGTGCTACTGCTACATACACAGGTTTAAATTACCAAACCAAATATGTGTAATTGTTTATCAAGGAAACATCTGTGATACATTTATAGCATATACACAGGCAGACCTTCTCCACGTTTTCTCTCTCTCTGGTGTCCAGTAGGACATCTAATGCACTCCTCAGTGTAACAAGCTTCTCTGTCTCGTCCCTGAAAGCTCGCTGAGTGGTGCTGAGGAACTTGAGGAGATGGCTGCTCTGAGCAGGACTCAAGAACTGAGTGTGTTCAGAAATAAAGCACTGGATATCGAATGTGACGTCCTCTAACTTGAGCCTGGCCTCCTTTAGCAGATTGTTCTCCATGTCCTGGAACACGAAAAGATGGAAAGATTTTGAGTGAGTGTCTCCACTTAGTCAGTGTGCAATGTTTTTGATTCTATTTTTAAAGATACCTTGATCTGCTGACTCAGATGTCTCAGTGTGTCCACGTCACATGTGTTCAAATCCACATCACACATCTTAGAGGCATTTCGAATGACGCCTGCCAGTTCATCAAGATCATTCAGATGTTTCTGGTATGTCGACTCCAAATGTACCTAAAATTAATTTAAAGTCAATCAGTGGTTGCTGCTGCCGTTAGATCAGTAGAGTTTTATTACGATCTTAACACTGACCTTTGCCGTTTCCATCGCCTGAATCACGGAGTTGCTCCTTTCTGTACACATCTGGGAAACAGCAGCAAAATTTGGCTCTAACTCCAGATACGTCGAGGTCAAATCTTGGCGGATTTGTACGGGAATGTCCTCATCAGCAGAGTTTAAGAGCTGTTTGGCTTTATTCATATCCTCTGACAGAACACCAGCCAGTCTAGAGAGCTGAGACTCCAGAGACTAGATAGAAAAATAAATCTGGTAAGGAACTAATGTACATATAACTAAATATTTTAAATAAATATGAATTACATTTTAAAATGAGAAAATAGGATACAATTTATAACACAGATGACGGGCTTTGGTTTTTTAATTTCTAACCTGACATTCCTCTATTTGGAGCTGCAGTTCTTCCATGTTGTTGCCCGTGGGTACCTGGATAATAAGGTCTTTTCTGACATCTTCTAAAACATCAGCATGATCCTGCAGCCTCCCAACACACTCCAAATAATCCTGAATCGAGAACGACTGTGGGGAAAGAAAACACAAAGTAGAAGTGGAGCAGGTGTTACTTACGTTACTAAAACCAAAGAGATAGCATTAGCTTGATACAGAAAAGAAATAAACTTTACCTTATTTTTGACTTTCTCCACTTTGCAGACATCTGAGCTGAACCACACCTGAGCAGACGGCTGGTGAGTCTGACCTAAGTCATCCTGTGCTGAGCCTTCATCCTCTCCCTCTGAGCTCTCCTCCTTGATGCTCTCGAGCGTGTGACGTCGATCCTCCTGGGGGTCGACCCCCAAAGCGCTGCTTAGAGTGTCCATCACTTCTTGAAGCACTGAAAGGTCTTGGCTCGAGGAAACAGTCTTAAAAACCTGCAGCAGTTGCTGCTGAATGTTCGGAGCGTCTGACTGTTCTGTCTTTTCAGTTTCTTTTTCTTCTTGGCACATCAGTTCTGAGGTTCCTGCATCTTTGTTGTTCACACTGAGGGTGTTTTGGTTCAGTAAATCCCCAAGAGCACCCCAGTGACTGCTCTCTATGAGTCCAGGAGGTGGACTACTCTCCTGAAAACTGCCTTCATCTAAAGACTGTGGATTATTCTGCCGAGCTACAGCAAAAGTGCTTTCAGTGTCTTGAGTTTGTTCCTTTTGCATATCACTGACATTGCTACTCTTTGTCATTATTTCCCCTTGGTCATCCACATGGGCCTTTATGGGATTAGAATCCACGGATAGAGCCGAAGGGGAAGCAGATGTGATGCAGCTGTCTGACAGGAAATCAGTAGATACATGGGGATGCTCAACAACACCTACATCAAATCTTTCTGTTTCTGGCTGAATATTTGATACTAACGCTTCTCCCATTCCATTTTCAGACTGTCCCAAATGAACTTCTGATAATGCAGAATGAGGACTTAAACAGGAGACAGTGTCACCAATATCTGATTCTTCTTTCTCTTTTGTTGAAGCAGAGATTTGCTCAGTACCACTGATATGATCACGTTGCCTTTCTGGGGAAAGCCTCTCTGTGCGTAACACAACATCATCCGCACCACTGCACTCTGAGTCCAACAAATCACGACTAGTCAGGACTGAATCCTCAGGAGCACAGATGTTATGACTGACATTGTTTGTAGTAGTCATGTGACTGGAAACAACAGGTGACTGAGAGGTAAGGTTCAGTTGCTGTGGAGGCCCTTCACAATCAAGTGCACTTTGGCTTTGACTACTCTGAAAGCAGCTGGGTTCGGATTCAACACTAAAATCACTTCCTGAATGCGCCGCTGCTTGCTGAGGTAATGCGATTCTGTCACCGTCGTCTGTGCTGCTTTTGTCATCGGGACTTTTACCGCTGCAGATGATTGCACTTTCAACCAAATCCCTGGGCAATGAGTAATCTGTGCTCAGAGCTGCCTCAGTGTCCAAAGGTGATTGAGCAGCACTCTCATTTTCCATTGCGGTCTCTACAGACAGCACATTACAGTATGAAAAGGCCATGTCTAATTCACTCTCACTGTCTCCTTGATTTCCCACCTGGGCATCATATCCAGCGCTGAAAAAATCATTAGCGGCGGGTTGGCTGTCAGATTTGTCAGAGGGATAAGTGAAAGTGGCATATTGAGTCTGGCTCTCAGGATCAGTATTGATGCTGGTGGCGCTGTCACTCAGACTAGATGGACGTGACTGGATAACTGAAGCGGCCTTTTCTATTAAAACACTGGATACATCAGCTCCACCTGTCCGCTGGCTATTGATTAGAACCTGTGAGTCACTGTCTTCAGCCAGTAAAGGCAATTCGTCTGCGTGATGAATACTCTCTGCAGTAACCTGACACCACGAGGAGGGTGAGATCATCTGAGGCTCATGACTGCTATCTGAGAGAAGGGAGTGGCGCTCGTAGTTACTCATCATTTCTGCATTTCCGATACCCTCGCTATCTACATCTGAACTTCTGTTTTCACTCTCTATATCTTTGTCGTTAGCCTCCTCATTGGGTAAATCAAGCACCATGACAACCACCTTCCTCTCAGTCAGCTGCTGCATGTTTTCACCTTCGTTCATATTAATTAAACCTAGATTATGATCTTCAGTGATCGAGTGAAAGCAGCTTTCTCCTGGGTGAATGCTGGTGTCTGCATCGGAGTCAACATATTCATCTTCACCTGATCCAAACTGTAATGACTCAGTGATGCTAATGTAGCAATCAGACCTCAAAAAGCTCTCCTGCTCTGTTTGATATCTGTTCGACACTTCCTCTTTTAGAACGAACACTGTGTCTTCCTCATCTCCTAAGACTCCTATTTCTTCATCTGATTGTAGGTCATGCAGCTCTAGTACTGTCTCCACATTTACTAATTCCACATTAAGATCATCCTCCAGCTCATAGGGGACATCTAAAATGCCCCCTTCCTCAAAATGGGCTTTTAGAAGTTCAATAGCATCCTCATTTTCACCCTCCATCAAGCCCTCAGGGCATAAGAACTCAGCTTGGTCATTATCAACACTTTTTGATTCACTAGACAGTGAATCAGGGTTGTTGTGTTGTACTATCTGATGGCAAGATCTCACTGAAGACTCAGGATCAAGCATCCAGGACAGTGAGCCAATGTTTGTGCTGTTCACAGAACCTAACGTGGGAGGGACTGACATCTCTAGAGAGGCTAGAACATCAGGGCCTCCACTAACCGCAACTCCATCATCGATTTGGAAACTATCTCCATAGATTCTTCCATCAGATTCGTAGGGTTTTGTCCAGCTTATGCTATTTTGAAACATGTTTTCCTCCACTGCAACAGGCTCTGCGGTATCCATGTCAGTGCCATTATCTGATAAAAATTCCCTGACAGGATGTTGTTTTACGGCCTTGTCATTAGAATGTGATTCTTCATCAAAGGTAATTCTTCCATTGCCAGAGGAAACAAAATCATAAGGCTCAAATGTGTGTTGTGCGCTTTCATCAAAGGTAATTCTCCCGTTGACCGTGGAAACGAAATCACGAGGATCAAAGTCATGTTGCGTGTTTTTCATTAACTCCTCTGTTTCTTCATCTATGTGCAGCGATATCTCTAAATCTGTCTTTTCTGGAAGATTACTTTCATTGAGAGTCAGATGGGTCAACTTTTGGTCAGTGTTTTCACAAAATATCTGGTCTTCTAGAAAAGCTTGAGCCATTTTAGTTAACTGACTATCGAGAATCAAGACTCTTTGTCCCGACTGTGGATCAATGTAACTGTTCATCATCAAGTATGAGATGAATAACTGCTTTGTCTCTTCGGGAGTGGGGAGGTTTACATCTGAACCATCTGCAGCGTGATGCCAACCATCGACTGTGAGTTTTTTATACATAAGCCAGGATGAGAACTTTTCATTAAGGTGGTCAACATCTGGAAACACATCAGGAATCTCTATAGATCTCAGAACTTCTGCTGTGTAACTGTCAATCAAACCATTTTGAACAGCAGAGCTTATGTCTATTACCTCTGAATTTTCTGGAATGTAAAAAGCTGCTATTTTACCCCGATTACTAAACAGAGCACTGGTGAACTCATTGGTGGTGCTTTGTTGATCATACTGGAATGAGGTGGACACAGTTTGGGTTTCCCCAGAGTGAGGCAACACTAGTCCCATGAACTGCTGCTGGTTTCCCAGAACAATGAGCGTGCTGCTGGAGCTCATTAAATCACACTGGATGGCTGCATCCACCTTTAGCCCATCAGCCTTTCGGAGGTTTTCTGACGTATTTTGACCTTCTGTGGGGTCCCCTACATTCACCCGAGCACCTAACAGCTTTGACATTATCTCCTGATCACCTAATTCATCATAAGCAGAGCTTAAAGAGTTAACATTCCTCTCTGGCGTCAGTGATGTATTTCTGCTGAGACAATTTAATATCAGTGTATTAACCTCGCAAGGTTCAACCTCCTCAGGATTCATCATATCCTGAGAGGACCTTTGCCTCTGAAGCAGCTTTACATAGACAGAAGCAGGAACTAAACCACTCTGAAACGCCTTCTCCAGGTTCAGCGTGTCCCCTGTGTAGCCCACCTTCACTGCATCACCTCCTTGGTCGACCTCTATTATCTTAAGGATCAGATCTTCTCCGCAGACAGAACCTTCCCTGGCTGCCGCTATGTCAGACAGCGACACAGAGGAGACATGTGAGCTATGTATGCACTTGTTTGCCTCATTCAACTTTGGCAAGTGGTTGAGTGTGGATTTGTACATGAGATCTTGTTTGAGAGCATCATCCCAGTCCAGATGGACATGGGGCTCAGACTGAGAGAGGCTGGAGGTCATGTGGCCCTCTGGAAGAGTCACCCAAGACTTCTGATCAGCCAGGCCACTCATAGTTCCAGTCCCAGTCCTGTTAGTGGGTTTAAAATCCTGTAGAAAATGAAAGCACAAGTTACCTAACTGGCTTTGACTTCAAAAGTTGTATTCTTTATGTTAAATTTGCGATTCAAATATTCAAAAGCGAGACAAAATCTATACTCACCACCACATAAACATGGGAATGTTATAACATCATGTGCACAAGAGCAAAACTGCAACAGGTTTGCAACAGGAGAGTGACGGACAACACATGAATACAAGCTATCATGCATCTGGGGACGCAGAATCCAGCCTCTTGCAAAAAGAGTGTAGTTAGTCACATTGCATCCTGTAAGGTTATACATCATATCTGTTGTCCTATTGAACTGTAAGAGAGCTCAAGCACATTGATAATGGTGGAATATCAAACCAAAGCCGGGTGCAGTTAAGCATGTTTACAGCATACTCAGGTTCTTTGGGCTTCAACTAGACAAATCTTATTTTCTGTCTTTGCTGAGTCAGTATAAGAAAATGACATGAGAGATGCAAGAGAAAATTGCTCACACTGAATCAGGGGAAAAGAGGCAAACAGTTAGGCATGCAACCGAACATCAGGTGGCGCTGTTTTCTAACACATCATAAGACACGAGTGCAGTACAGTCAACCAAACACAGCTTTGTATCCAACCTCTTCTGCCGAGGATGTCTGATCTGAACACTGCTGGGAGAGTTCGCTGTAGGCCTGGCTGAGCTCCTTCAGCTGCTCCTGGGCTTTCTCTCTTTCCTCTTCTGTCATTCTGTAAAACAAAATGCAAAGAATGCAGCTCAAAGCTTTAACAGAGAATGAAAATACTATGACATGGTGGATACAGTAGCAAAACTTACTTATCGCTGTGTTTGTTCAGCATCATTTGCGTGGCCCTCAGTGCTTCTGCAATCTGTTCTTTTTTCGTGACCATTTCCTCGACTGACACCTAGAGCATCAAACAGTGACATATTAATACTTTGCATGTAGCACAGTGGCTCTACTTTTGTGTGAGTGCTTCTTAAATAGTTGTGCAGAATAGTTTCATCACCAGTATAAAGTTAGTACACAGAAACACAAAGCCCACGGATACACAGCCACACACTAACAGGCAATATTTTAAAAGAAAATCTGACTCACTAAAATAAAACATGGCCATTAATGACTAAGGTTAAACTGCAGACTCCAATAACAAGACAGAATATAAAACCCTGCACAAAATAATGTATTCCAATGGAGAAACCATGAATAAATATTAACTCTGACAAACTTAAATATTAAAAAGACAAAGTAAAATGTTACATTTTTGTTCAGAATGTGTTTAAAAAGTGACTTGATTCAACTCTGTGGTCCTTTTTGATGCCATAATTTGTGGTATTGTGATATCTGAGAGCATTTTGCTTCGATAGATTTTTGCACCTTGACATTGAAGGACAGAATATTAGAAATACTTTCAGTGTGGTTAGAAGACACAATCAGAAAGGTGACCTTGTAATTTGATAAAATAAAAAAGGATCTCCAAAGCTGCAATTTTTATAATTGTTAAATTGGAAAATTATTGTGTGCAGGTAGGTAATGGATAAAACAAAAATTAAAAAAAAAAAAAAAAAGAATAACAATATATATATATTACTACAATTTATTTGTGACAGGAATACCACTGCTACTACGACTACGACTACTACTAGTACCACTACTACTAGTAGTAGTAGTACCACCAATAATAATAATAATAATAATAATAATACTTTACTGATATATACATTGAGTGAATGGACTACGTGAATATTGTGTTGTTTTTCTACATAGTTTAGCTCAGCTTCAGTCACTTATCTTTTCTCAGTCACCTCAAAATAAACAGTAACATGTTAAATTCTTGGCAAGTCACTATATAGCACATTTATCATCTAATTTTAGTCTTTACTCCTTTATTGTGTTTATTTATGCTCTTTCTATTCTATTACAGCACACAGTTTGAATTCTGTTCCTCAGGATCACCAATTTCCTTTTTATTTAACCACAATTAACTACAATTCGTAATATACTGCACACATTACAGATATTTCATATATTATGCAAATGCAAATTGAATAATGTCAGCTTTGGGCCATATGTACAGTCAACTGCATGTTACCTTAGGCAACAGGGGAAAATGTAATATGTTTTTTTATATTTTAACAACTGGTGGGACTGATATGATCTAATAATCTGATATGTGAGTGCTTGTGCAACTTATACATTTAAAGTTGTTGAATCAGTTGGATTAAAAAAATAAAACACGTCATATTAGCCACGTCTTTGTAAGCTAAGTATAGTACAGCCACTGCCTGAATTGAAAGATATATGGACTAAATGAATCAGAAAGTGGACAATGTGCTTTTATTAGAAATCAAACACTATGACAGCAAACTGACTGTGAAATCATTTGATTAGAAAAATACTCTCAACCATTAAACCAAAGTATTCTCTTGTGTACAGTCTATGGTGGCACTCTCAAAATAAAAAACAGTACACACCAATAACATACACATCCTTTACCTGGGGCTTATTAGAAGCGTCTGTGTTGGCATTACTATCTTTCAGAGCATTCCCATCATTGCTCACGGTCTGTTTCACATTGGACATCCAGTGCAACAGTTTGCTAACTTTATCACCATGTTCTCTCTTCTCCTCATCAACAGATCTCTAGAATTAAAACAGATGGATTTTTGACAGGATTGTTAACATTTCTGCAAAATAACAAACAAAAATCAGTCAAGATAAGCGCGAGAGGGAGGGGAACCATCTAAATACATTCATAATCTGGGTAAAATCACCAAAACTCAAGAATCATGATTAGTTGCATCAACCACAGTATAAAAATATGTGTGAACCAAAAAAAAAAAAAAGAAAGAAACAGTGAAGATAATGTGACAGCCAAACAAAACCAAAAGGAAATTCTCTTTGCAGGTTTTGCTTTTATGCTGTAGATAGCAATGTATTTACAACATTTATTTATATGCCCAAACATAGTGAAATGTTGATTTGGCTCCAAAACCATGAATTTTTGCAGCCTCCAGTAACCTTAATCCAGTGTGGCAGTCGTACACGCTTCTTTCAAGCGCCTCTCTGAATGTGATTCTTCTCTTGGTCTTCGGACAAGTGAGGCTTTTGGAGTGGAACTTCTCATCTTTAAGCACAGCGGCAGTGGCTTTGTCAACAAGGCCGCTCTGAATGACTTCTTCAAGCGAGACTCTATCGTGAGTGTCAGGATTTATCAATCCTCCGGTCAGGAGCTGGAATTCAATACAGCGAAAACCAGCTTCCTTTGGGAAGATACTTTCCTGAATGGCCTGGGGAATGGACAAAGCCTTTGCAGTTTTAGGGTGAATAATGCCATTAAATGCCTTCTCAAATTGTTGGAGCTGCTGATTTAATGTCTCATCTAGAAAACCTCTTTTGAGAGCCTCTGGGAGAGTAACTTTCTCCCCGGAGGAGGGGTCACAAATACCTCCGGTGCAGGCCTGAGCCTCTAACAGTCTTAAAGCAGTAGCTCTATCAGTGAAGCCCTGCTGAAAACCCTGAAAAACTGAGAGCCTCTTCTTCTGAGTGATGTCCCAGAAACCAGCAATGGGGCTGTTCACATCTTCCACAACAACCATTCTGGAAAATATGATGTCCACAATCTCATAGATACTAAGAAGACCACTACGGTAGTTTTCAAGCTCAGATGATTCAAGAAACCTTTGACTTAGAGCCGACTCTAGGCAAAGCTGTCGGCCACTTCTGATATCAGTGATGACGTGAAGTGGGGTTCCACTTTGGTCCACTATGGACTTTTCCTGCCAGTCACTTTCCTGCTGTGACAGAAACAGATACGTCTTCCTGTCGATGTGTTTCCCCTTGAATGCTTCGTACGCTGACATTTCAGTGCCACAGTTGCTGTTGACAACTGACACTCGATGAGAACTCGTAGGAGATGTACTTGTTATGTGTCTCTCACCGAATGGGAAGAGGAACACGCCACCGTCGATGTCATACAAGCAGGTCTTGAGTATTTCAGAGTAGTATGCTTTCTGTCCAGTGTCAGGGTTGTGGAAACCTTTAGGGTTACTGACTGGATCGTACAGGCTCTGGAGAGTGTCTTTGTTCAAAAGACCAAGTTCAACACCAAGACCGGCTGGCACCCCAACACCAACCTCTGGGTTTGTAAGTCCTCCAGTAGCAACCTGAATCTCAAGGATCCTCTTGCCTTTGTATCTGTCAAGAACCCTCTCCTCGATTGCCTGAAACACAGACAGCTTTTTGCCCTTATGGATGTAGCCACTAATGGCTTTCTCAGCCTCCATCAGTTTATCTTTCAGGCTTGTGTCTATGATACCTCTCTCCAGTGCCTCAGTAACTGAGTGTGTTTGCCTCGTGGTCAGATCTGTAAGGGTTCCTGTTGCAGCCTGAGCCTCGAGAAATTCAACTGCATACGTCTTTGCTAGGAAGCCCTTTTCAGCAGCCTCTAGGAAGGATATCTTCTTCTTGCTGGACTCAACATAAACACCAGCAATGGTAGTCGGTTTGCCAACGTACTGAGCAAGTGATGCTTGCACCTGTTCCACTGTGATGAGGCCCATCTCCAACTTACGCAAAACCTCTTCATTCAAGAGCCTAAACTTGATCAAGTATTGGATATCTACAGTCCCTTTGAGTTCTGGGAGCTTTTGGGAAGTTGAATATGCCACACTCATGTTTCCATCATGGTCTGTTGCACTCTTCTCTGATGTGCTTACAGTTTCACAGATTTCTGTGATTTGATACCTTCTTGTCTTACTGATGTTAGTTTCATTTGATTTTAGCTGGTCTGTTTGTCCACACAGAGCCATGTATCCATGTGCTGTCACACTGCCGGGCAAATCAGATTTAACATAGCTCTGGTAAGTCACATTTTGGACATCTTTTTGTAAAAGGGCAGAAGTTTGATGAACAGAGTTATTCAGCATTTTCTCTGTTGGTGAATCGTGTTGAAGACTTTGAAGGACTTCTGTATTGTCTTGTTTGACTTGTTTAACTCCCTCATGAATGTTTTCTTTGCCCACTGTTGTCATCTGTAGATGTGACATTGGGAGAACTTTTTAGTTATGACAGACTACAATTCATCATTAAAGCTACCATCTATATAATAGTGTACAATAAATAATTTGACTGTATTGCATTGAGATATACTGTATTTGTTAATACATATAATAATATTAAGCAGTAATGCTGAAATAACTTCATCCATACCTCTAAGGACTCTTTCATTTTGAGAACTTTGTCCTCCATGTTGCGTTTTGCAGCTTCACTTGAGGATGCTGTTTTCTGTACCATGGTAACGTCTGCCTTCGACAACTCAGCCTTGTTGTCTTTCACATACTGATGACCGGCTTCAGTAACTTTCACTTCAAGTCTCAAAATCTTCTCCTGAAGACTCTGAACCTGTCTGATGTACGAGTCTATTTGTTCCCGAAGAGATCTTGCCTCATTTTCTTTCAGAGTCAGTTTCCGCTCACTATCTGACAACAGCTTTTCAAACTTTGTTGATTCCTTCGATTGCTCATTGCAAACGCTCTGTAAAGCACTGATTTTTGAGATGAACTTGATTTTATCCTCCTCGAGTTGGGCGATTTCTGATTTGGCTTTTGACAAGTCTTGCGTGAGCTTTGTTCTCTCTTGCTGCAGTTTGTCCATTTTGACCTGCAGTTGCCGCTGCTGGTCCATTTGTAGCCTTGATTCCACTGTGGTTTGGTGGACTGTTTTAAACTGTTTCATGTCTTGTTTGAAATACTTGTTAAACATCTCTGCTAGATTTGCATTATGTGACTGCTGGTTTGAGTTCACACCTGTGTTTGTGAAGTCAGACTGCAGTAGAATTAGTTTTTTCTCTACCTCGGTCTGTACTAGCATAAGCTGCCTCTCATAGCCGTCTTTCTGAAGTTCTAGTTTGCTCTTTAATTCTTCCAGCATTCTCTTACACTTCTCCAGTTGTTCTTCCATCTGCTGGGACTTCAGCTGAAGAACTGAATTCTCTCTTTGCTTTTGCTCAGTTTCTGTTTGGACACGTTGCAGCCTATCTCTTAGTACTCTGGTTTCAGATCCCAACGAGATGATTTTCTGAAGTGCCTCAGCTTTCTCCCTATTTAGGACTGCCTTCTCTTGTTGTAGATTTAATTGGGATTTGTCAGAACTAGACATCACTTCTTTCATAGATGTTTTATTTCTCTGAAGCTCAGCCTCTAGCTGCATTATTTTGGACTCTTTGAATTTTCCTTCTTTGATTTCTTTATTCAACTCATCTTTTGTTCTTTGTAAAGAAGAGTTTAGCTCTAAAAGTTTATTATTTAAGTTATCCACTTGCCTTTCTGTTGCCCGCCTGTCATTCTGAAGAGTGTAGATTTCCTGCTTAAGGTTTCCTGTAATTTTCTCTGAGCAGCTAGTTAACCCTTTAATATTGTGCTTATATTTCAAAAGCTCGTCCTCTAACGCCTTGACGTTACTGAGATGTTTTTGACTCTCAGAAGATTGTCTTTGCAGCTCTGCATTTTTTGCATTTAGCGTCCCTTTTAAATCATTGATTTCAACTTGTTGCATTTGGAGCTTCTGATTCGCTACGTTTTTCTCAGCCAACACTGACTTCAGTTCTAACTTCAGAGTTGTCATTTCTGTCACATAATTGGTAATGTTGGAATTGAGGGTTTTGACTTTTTGCTGCAATTCAGCTGTTTTCTTTACCTCCTCATTGTAATCCTGAAGCTGAATTTGAAGCTCATGGGAGGTCTGAGATTTCTTATTAAGCTCCTCCTCAATAATTCGGACCTGTGATTTGCTGCTCTCTACCTGAGACTTGAAGATCTTAATTTGTTGATCCTTGCTGTTAACTTCCATCATCACCTGATCCAGCTTAGCTCTCACATTCTTCAAATTCTCTTCCATCTCGGTATTTATCTGTTTGAACTGATCGATTTTTTTATGCAGTTGTGAAGCAGCTACATCACTCTTCTCAAGTTCTGCTTCAAGGTTTTTACATTTGATCTGCATTGCCTGCTCTGATCTTTTTATGAACATGTTGTCTTCTGTGGCTGTATGCAGCTGCTGTTTCCAGCTGTCTATCTCTCTCTTTAAAGACTTGATCTTTTGTTCAGAAACTGATCTCTCCTTTTCTAATGTCTCTATTTGGACCTGAAGACCTTTAATGTCATTGTCAGATGAGACATTCATCCTCGTCAGCTCACTGCATTTCAACTTCAGCTGCTCGACTACGGCCTGTTTGGAAGTCATCTCTTCCTCTAAACTGTTAATCTTGTAACTATTTTCCTGTTCAATGGAGCTCCTCTTTTGCAGTTCTCCTTGGGTGATCTTTAGTTTTTCTTTAAGGCCTTCAACTTCAGTGCTTTGGAAAAAAGCAGTTTGTTCCAATGAGGACTTTCCTCTTTGGAGCGATCGGATTTCTTCTTGAAGGTCATTGATGGATTTCTTCATGTTCTGTATCTCCTGCTGGAGATCCTCAGATTTCTGCCTCATGTGAACCCTTTCAGTTTCCATGTCGATCTGAAGTTTCTTCAGTCTGTTATTGCTGTCGTCCAGCAGCTTTTTGTAACTCTGTGCTTTCTCCTCAGCCATTTCTGCTTTTTTCTGGACCAGGACGAGCTCCTCTAGTTTCTGCTGCAGCACGTCCATCATCATGCTGTCTGCAGATGGCTCGGGCTCGCTGTCGACTGTTGACTGGCTGTCAAACGCCACAGTTTGCTGAGCCAGATTGTTCTTTTTAGCCTGGACTTGATTTTGCACCTCCTCCTCACTTGTTCCTTCAACTTCCTCCACATTTATTTTATTTAGTTTGGGACTCTGCGTCTTAAGAACTTGCTGATCATTTGTTTTCTTCAACAGGTCCTCTAGTTTCTTCTGAGTCAAAGACCGATTGGCCTCTGACTGCTCAATTAACAGTTTTGTCTGCTTTAACTCCTGCTCACTCGCAGCTTTGTCTTTAACTGCTATCTCTAACTTAGTGCGATACTGATTAACGTCATGCTCAAGCTGTGATTTCTGAAAGTTTAGATCCTCAATCGTCTTGTGTTGCATTTCTATTTCACCTTCCAACTTTTCCAACTGCGTTTGTCTTTCATTGAGCAAAGCCTCCTGCTCCTGGACCAGCTGCTTAAGTTGACTATTCTCTACTTCCCCTGTAGCTTTTTGGAGCTCCATGCTCTCTGTCCATTTTGCATTCTCTGCCCTTTCAAAAGCCTTTCTGTTCTATAATGCAAAAAAGAATAAGTCATGCTTCACATTTAATCAAAAATTAACGGCATTAATATTTTTAACACAATCTCTCCAGGAATTTGCGATTTTAGCAATGCATATTTTTTTGTAAAAGGAGAAAAAGCAATATTTATTTATTATCATTTAACAACAGTATCTTAAATCTGCTTAAGACAAAGTCAAAAGTCAATACCACTGATTTGATCGCTGCACCATTTATCCTTTTAGCAAACAGGTTTGAAAATATGTCAATGCCAGTACACAAACTCCGTGAGAGATTTTTTATTTTTACCACTGAGAGAACAACATAATAAAAAGTTTCTGCTTAAGAATAAAAAAGCTGTCTCTTCCCAGCAAGTCACCATCACCAGCAGAGCATTACCGTACTTGCAGACATGCACTGCATTTTCTGCATTTCCATTGCTTCATTCGTGCAATGAAGCAAATGATCTTCACTCATGAAGAGCTGACCGTACGTATATCATCAGAAATGTGACCCTTGGAGGCAGGCAAAAAGTCAAGGTGGATAAGGTGTAAAGATACTGTAGGCTTTTTTACGATTTTATGAGGTAGTAAAACATGTCGATGCAAAAGAGAAGTCCTGGGAACCATGCAGATGTTTAAAGGCAAAGTTAAAGTGGCATCATAGCCTTAGGAACCCAAATAGCCCCAAAAGCTGAAAATGAGCTGCAAAAAACACTTTAAATGTAGAAAGCCAAGAAATATATGAAAAGTATACACAACTCACCTCTTCGTCTTCAGTTCTCTTCAGTGTTTCACTGGCAAACTTCACGTACTGTGTCATTAGAGTCACCAGAGCAGTGTAGCGTGTTCGGAGATCCATAAACTGTAGGAAATCAGACAAACGTAACCAAGTATGTCATTGAGCAAGTTTAGTTCATACAAAACTAATTTCCTCTGCTGACAAAGTGAAAATGTAGTTTTACCTCCTGCTGAATGGCATCAGAAGAACTCTGCATCCTCCTTTTCTTGAGAGGAGATTTGTGTTGGGAGTCAACCATCGCTCTGAACGTCATCAGCTGAAGTTCATAATCCTAAAAAAGATTGTTTTATGTGAAAGGTTAAAGGGATTTTTTCCCCTAAAACATTTTAGTTGTTTTTACATCATTGCCCAGTCCTTGACCAACAACAGTTCATTATATGTCAGAAAATCTCTGAAAAAATTTAAAAATCACACAAAAATCCTGCAATATTCCGACAGAACTGATGCCTTATTATTTCCATAGCATTGTTTCGCTTCGTCTAAACAAAAACAAAACATGAGTTGAAAACAAGTTCATATAAATTACTTTACCTTGATGGCAGATGAGTAATGCTCCGAGTACTTTTGACACTCATCAATTCTGCTCTGCTTTTGTTCAATTTCAGCAACAAGAACCTGAAAAACACACATATATTTGTAATACATATTTATACAGACAGTATACGTCCTTATCTTAGTGTGAAAAAAGTTTAGTCTCGTCCTACCTTCTGTTTGTTTAACAGCTCAGCAAGTGCTTTGCTGTCCTCAGGTTTGTTTTCTTGGGCCTTTAGCTGTGCTGCCTCCATTTCATTCACCCATTCATCAAGGCTGCTGTAGGAGTCTCTGTAATGTTTCAGGGATTTGCTGATACCGTCCAGGTCCCGAAGCCTGAAATTGATAAGATAGCCTCAATGAGTAATACGTCCATGTACTATATAATGTTTGCATACAGCTGTTTTCATTGTTTTAATGCAAATAAATCCAAAAAAACACTAACCTGCTGTCAATCTGGGAGTGAATGTTCTGCCATCTCTCACTCAGCTGATCTGCCTTCTCCTTGTGCCAGTCGAGATCAAAGTCACGCTCATTGTGGGCCTTAAACATGCGGTCACTGATGACACGGGCTTTCTGCAGCTCATCCTCCATGTCATGGAACACCTCCTGCCTCTCATCAATCTCTGTCCGCCATTGCTGTAACGAGACAAAGGAAAAATTACTCAATGAACTATAAACATTGGCAATTCAAATGTTGCTTCCAAATATATAGTACAATATGAATTACCTTAAGTGTAGAAATGACATTTTCGATGGATTTGACATCAGAGTTCATAGCATCTTCTTCATAGAGTTTAGATTCGTAGGCTTTAACCAGAGCCTCTGCACTCTGGCTGTGCTTCACCACTAAACTCACTGTTTTTAGCCTGCAAAAAAAACAGAAGATGAAAAGCCCCCTTCAGTTCTAATACTTTTAGTATTACCAATATATTTCTAAACCATTTTGTGACAATAAAGGAAGATTCTTACTTATCCATATAAATGGAAGACATGGAGTACACTTGGCTCATGCTCTGGATGAGGACAGTGAGTTCGGAGGAAAGTGTTGGTACAGATGGAGAACCTGCAGCCTGTCTGAGGAACAGCTCACACTTCTCTTTCATGACATCCAGATCCTCCTTCAGCTTATTCAGCTCTGCTGTCTTCCTCTGAAGAAGGGGCAGGAGAATATAATGATCAAAACAATAACACCAGTTAAGTTTGTGAAGGTGTAAAGTGCCTGTTGATCTCTAGCTGTGTACCTCGTGCTCTGTGATGCGCTGCAGACTCTGCTCCAGGTCGTCTCTTTCCAGTGGCGTGCGGATTTGCCTGATCAGGTGTTCTTCGTGGGCCTCCAGATGCATGCGGAAGTTGCGTATTTCTGAGATGTAATGATTGTACACTGATTCCTCGTGTTCCTCTGTTTAATGAAGAGAAAATGTAATTAAAGGGAGCATGAAATATGTTTCAAACTGTGACAGGACAGTTTGTTGTATCTTTTTTTTTTTTTTTTTTTTTTAAACAGCTCTTGTAAAAATGTGCTTTGAAATTTAAAATCACCACTATCTGATAGGTAGTACAAGCATTAAAACAAAAAAAAATGGAATTTTAAACCCTTGTGTCATTCAAAACAATAGTGACAAGTACACCTCTAGATGGCGTCATTACCACAATCTAAGTAAGACCTGTTGCATGGCACTTAATATACAGCTACAATAAACATACTGAGAAATATAGAAAATGATTTTGATAAACTGAGGACCTGTTTAAGACAAGGGGACAAATTATACTGACCATGCACACACATATTTGTACACATGTTTTCTCCACAGAACTATGCAACATAACAATTATTGTGTATTTTTTCTCCAAATATTCAACTCTAAACTCCTAACAACGCATTAAAAATGTGTGACGGATACTAATCCAACACACATTTTGTCAAATGTAAAAAAGAAAATCTCTTAAACAGTCCTCTAGCTGTCTTTTTTATGTGTGCACTGAGAGAAAAATGTGTTTGTACACAGCCCTGGCTTTGCACATGACAAAGTGACTGATCTGCACAACAGTATTCTAGAGTGTCCCATGCACATTTGTGCTTGTGTACAGGATGGAGGGGACATGGAGAGAAAGGGAGCAGTGGCAATGAGAGGTACTGTTAATCTGACACATTCAAATATGCAAACTACTTAAATCAACAATCATTTTCCAGATTTGCTGATCCACCTTTAACAACATACCAGTATTTTCCTGTACTTTTACAGTACTTTACATTCTCAGCAAAGCCAACCACGTCTTAAGAAACTGTACTTAATGAGCAAAGAAACCCCAACATAATTCCAAAAGGCATTAACTTAAGGTTTTAAAGGCTTTAAGAGCCATGTGTTTTCCTTGCGGTGTTGTTCAATGTACAGCAGTAACTCCTAGCTGGTAAGGAGGGAGGGGGGGGGGGACTTGGAGCCTTGCCTCTCTCTGCAGATCGCAGCAGTTCCTGGTAGTACTCCTTGCAGGCCACCACATCTCTCTCCAGCTGTGCACAGTCTGCCACCGTAAATATCTCTGACTCCTCGCTGTCTTCCAGGAACTCGTCAAAGTGGGACTGCAGGTTGCTCAAGACCTGCTGATGCTCACCCGGTAACATGGTCTTTATCTGTAGGGAGATAAAAGCGAAAATGGGACAAACAGGCTTCCACAGCAGCTTTCTGAGAAGGATGATCAAAGCTGGTGTTAAAATGGGCGATTGATTACAGTCTTCAAAGAAAGTGAAACATACTGAGGCCACATTCCAGTTGCGAATGGCTCTTATGTCAGCCATTAGATAATGCCAAGACACCACGCTCTTCATGTTGATGTGCGAGTGGTGCCACAGTGCCAGGACGTTCTGGTACAACTGCTCAGTTCTGTAGGAAAACCAAAGAGTAACAATAAAGTATCCCAACAGAAAAATGTATTTTGTAGCATTGAAACTCATGCATTAACTTCATTCCTATTTCAAATTGTTCCTAGCATCTAAGCAGCTCACTTTGTAGCCATATCAACAGCCTCTTTGTTGGGTGGAGGCACAGTGAAGCAAACGGAGGGAACCATGGCCTCATTCCCTGCGGGGTTGATGACTTTCCACTTGGCCCGGTGAGAGTTATTGGCCAGTACGCACTCATCATCCTTATAAATGGTAATCTGAAGGAGTTGTGATAGAGGCACATTATGGATTTACTATAAACATTCAAAATGAAATCAAATGTGGCGTGTGATGACAACAATACCTCTATCTGGCGATAATCGCAGATCGCTTTGACAGGGATGGACGATCGGACGGGACTTTCAGGGTTCCTGGGCCTGAGCTGCACAATGTGCTTGGCCCTGCCCACCAACCCAGCGACAGTGCTGCGGTACTGAAGAAGCTGCTCTTTCTCATCCTGAGCACACACAAAAGGAAAAAAAAAAAAAAGTTTTGTTATTTTGATTTGCAACTACCCACACATGCCCACACACCTCACATCTCTCTGTTAGCGTACCATGGACTCCTGAATGAGATCCTCCAGTCTGTGTAGGCTGCTTGTCCGATCACAGCTGTATTTTCTGTGAATGGAGTCTTGCAGGTTCTTAAGGTAGTCCATGGACTCTTTGGCATCACTGAAAAACTGCACAGGGGAAAAATATGTTAAATAATATGCAGTAAACAAATCCACTTCACAGTATTTATTAAAATAGTCAAACTCACCTCAAAATAAACAGCATTCTCTTTGAGATGCTGTTCTACACACGAGCAGAGCTGTAAAATCCAGCTCCACTGTGTCTGCATTGCAGCTCTGTATGCCTGGAAGAGAAACCACACAAAAATAAGACCCACAACATCCAGGTGTGACTGCTTGAAAATGACAGGCTGAAACAGGACTTATAAATCTCTTAATCACTGTTGGAGCTGGAACTGGTTAGCTGAAATTTGGAATGTAATTGTCATGTTGTCCACAGAGCTGAACATAAAGGAAAACACTCGGGGCTTACTTCTATTGTTAGCCTGGCTGGGTGGTTCTTGAGCATTAGGCGCTCTGCCTTGTCCTGCACAGACTTGATGGCTTCCTCTTTTTCATCCAGCTCCCTCATCAGGTCCTGTATAAAGACATTACGCTGAGTATCGCTGGCAATCAGCCGTGGCACGGAACAAGCAACTCCATTATCTCACACACTCTTGTATCTTGTTTCACAGTGCTGAGTATGAAGTCAGTCCTTTGAGCTACAATTTATGCACAAATACTCGCACTGAAATTGCTGTTTTCCTAAATACATGCAGCTGCAACAAAACTATACAAAGCAAACAAACAGGAAGAAAGAATCCCTTGTTATTCAGTATACACGGGAGAATTCGACAGATTAAGGTACGATTGAGAGATTATTTGAAGAAAAAACGACGACTTACTGCATGGTAGTCTCTTTTCTTAGAGATGTGGCTGTTGCGATCACTCCAGTCAAATGCAACCTCCTCCTCCTCCTTCTCATTCAGCCAGATCAGCTCTTGAGTCGCCTGTGACACAAAGTCATGCAGACTTTCCAGGTGGGTTTGCCGATCTCTAGAACAGCTCTGAAAGAAACAGGCATTTATAAAGTCAGACCACAACAAGCATATTAATCATTTGTAGCAGCACAAATTAGGAAATTAGGATCCTTGAGATCAGCAAATCACTTACTAATAGTCTCTCATACTGCTTTTCCAGTTTGTTCAGTTTGTCTGAATAAGATAGCTTCAGGGGTAGGGTCATCTGAATCTTAGAGAAGAAAAACACAATTTAGTTTATTGCTGTTTTCAGTAGAAGCTAAAATCAAATTAAATTTAATTAAATCAATACATTAAATTTAGCAAGCTAAGTCAGGATAACATCTAGGCTACAAATTATTTAGCATAGTTGACATTTCCATTAAAGCTAAAATCAAGACAGACACACTGAAACAAACTTACTTCACTCAGTTTGGCATCTTTAAGACTCATTTGAAATTCCTCAATGGCTCTGTGTACACTTTTGTGGTTCTCTAAATGCAATTCCACACTTGGCAAATCAGATCCCCACTCTGAACGTTCCAGTTGCAACTTTAAAACAGAAAAAAGGCAAATATTTAATACCAAGCACTGTATGCTTAAAGGTACATTTAACATAAAAAACTAATGGTGACTGCTCACCTGCATCTCCTCCACCCAGTTCAAGAGGTCCTGAACATATTTCATGTTGACCTCCTCCTCCGTCATGTTCGGGTCTGCCAGCGAGGACTTTAATAAGGGCTTCCGGATCTGCATGTGTTTCAAATGTCTGAGGCTACTTGGGTCCATGCCGCCGCCATCTCCACTCCCCATGTAGCTCTGGACTGAAGCAGGCTGCAGGCTGGGGGTCAAGGCAGGGGTCAAGGATGGGGTCAGGCACGGTGTAAGGCTAGAGGTGAATGTGGATCCAGGAGTACCTAAGCCCCCTGGGGTGAGTGCAGGAGTGAGGGCTGGTGTCAGGCTTGTGTTAATGTTCTGTGAGAAGCCAGAGTTCAGGCTTTGCGTGATGCCTGAGATCATCATTTTGGTTTGTTCTGTTGTCAGGGTGCGGCCTTGGCTGTACACGGAGGAACACTCGGCTCTCAGGGCCAGAAGATCATCCCGGAGTTTTGATACCCTGAACAGAAGAGCACAACAATATGAGACGTCTCGATGTGTGAGAAAAATCAGTGTTGTTTTTGTAAGAGGAGCAACTTTGTACCTTTGGACGAGTTGATCTGCAAATGGAAATTTTCCATCCAGAAGAATTTGGATGTCCACTACTTGTTGTCTGAGGATGTTCTCGCACTCTAACAGGTAGCCGGCGATCTCAGCTTCATTTATGAACTGAATGCCAGACTCGAGACGTTTTGCATCCTTAGAAGACCAGAAAAAAAAGGAGACTTAAAACTCAAGACAAATAAGTACACTCAGACCTATTTACCACCACTTACATCAAGTCAAACCAAGCTTGCACAAAACTTACAGACTGTAGGGAAGTCCTTGCCAGTGCCAGCTTGTCTTCACCGTTGACACAGTCACGCTGGACCCTGTTGGCAATCTGCTGCAGCATCTCAAGCCTATAAAACAAGTTATTGCACATGTCATCACTCTAATAAAAAAAAAAGCTTCACAAAAGCAAAGCAAGCACACTGCAACCTCACCTTGATCCATAGGCAATGTTGTTATTGAGAAAGACCGAGCTGTTGATTTGCAAAGGTTCAGTGACGACGGTGTCACTGGAGCCAAAGCTGGTGAAGCTGCTGTTGCTAATAGACGAGATCCCGCTCAAATAGGCCATCGTACTTCACATGGTAAACAACGATTGCTGTTTTCAGCCACTCAAAAACTCGTAGTTTCTCATCCCTGTCATCCCACGTGAAGGATCCAAGTCTCGATCGAACCTCGACAGCCCGACTGCAGGCGTCCGTAGCCCCAACTGAGCGAACAGCTTTCAACTCGCCCGTATTTATAGTGTCACAGACAGGTGAGGAGTGTGTAAAGAATCCCACCCTGAAATACTATGCTGCCTTTAGGGGATAGAAATTAAATAGCAGGTTGAGACAGTACACCTTCATAATAACTGAGACTGCATACAGAAATGCCAAACTGCTGTAATTGCTGTTTCTTCCACGTTTTACCACACCCACCGAGTGTGTTGTGTTGATGGACCGTGACGGCAGGAATGGAAACGTAAGCTTGCCTAAACTATTGTCAAGAGGCAGTTCCAAAAGATGACATTTGAGTTTCCATAGAAATAAGATTTCCATGGCAAACAAACAATGATGGGAGCAGAACATCAGATGCCATAAGAAAGCAGTCACTCTGTTACACATAAAAATATATCGGGGCATGCTTTGACAGAATTTTCATGGACTACACAACCTGTACATCATTTTTCATTCTCTGATCAAGAGTTTTCTGTTTTGATGCTTCATCATCTGTCAAAGCGAAACAAAACTTATCTCAATCTTATCACACGCAAACTGTGCACTTTGGCTCTAGTAAATCTACCAGAGAAAAATTGTGTATGCCAGCATATAAATACTGCATGTCCATATAAACCACATCAATTAGCTGGTCAGCTTCGGGGATTTCTGCTTTAATAAGGCAAATCACGCTCTGGTGTACAGCAGCAATCCTTAGTCTCTGGTTTCAGTAAAGACATTAACAGGCTTGCAATATGATACAGCAGCACTCCACCTCCATCAACCTCAGAAAACATTATGATGACTCATGTAGCTCGTTTGCTTCCCTTTCTTCATGCTTTTCATTTAGAAAAAATAGCATGTAAGGCGAACGACTTAGGATTTAGATTCCTGCATGTGGCCTCATACGTTTTGTCATATCAAAGTCCAGCCACAGTAGCCGATCATGACCTCCCAGCAACCCGCAAGGTTATAAATTCATAGAGTCTATAAATATTAGACTTTCAATCACGTTACGATGGCTCAGGTCAGTAAAAGTACAAATAAGATTAGTGCCTCCACATACCTTTCCACCTCTGGCCTCAGGCTCTTTTCTCTTTCAAGCATGGCAACAATTAATTTTCCCCATTCCTTCTCCACGTCGTTCGGATGATGACCCTGGGGTAACTGGATGCGCCCAAACTCAATCCACATCTGTCAGGCACACCCCAAACACAGACTTGTTACTTCTGCAATTTGTCAGACTGCAAACGTGCGATCAAAAACAGCATAGTCTTCTGTTTTCTGTTTTTTTTTTTTCATTTACCTCAAGCATTTTGTAGAGATTTTGGATTTTGGTTTTCTCGTTTTCTTTCACTGGGATTTCATGTTCTTTAAACTGGAGATACTGTGTATAAAGTGCCTGTTAAAGAAATCAGAGATTAATAATAAAACAATGAAGTTTTTTTTACATGTTTCGACACAATCTCTAAGCATTTGTTCCTTTCTCTTTAAAATAACTGCTTGAATGCACCTTCGCTTTTAGAAGCTATCGACTTCTTACAGCAAATGGATGCTGCTGCTCTCTTATATCCATCAATATCACTTTAAGTCTCAGTTTCAGCAGATAAGCATTACAGTTAAGCTATTTGAAGCAGGCAGCTATCCTTCATCTTTCAAACATTACATGCAGATTCGAAGCACTCTGTAAAATGAGAGCTCGACTGAAGCAAAGTTGAATAAAAGCTATTAATATTGATGAAAATCCACAAATGTGATGTTTATTTGTTACCTTGAGTTCCACGGGGTTGTTGGGGAATGATCTATCTGACATTATGGCCACGTTGTGTTTGATCCACTGGCTGAGGTATTTGATCATGTTCTGGTACTCCACCCATTTGATATCAACATCCTGCTCAAGAGAAAAAGAACCATCAGCAACAAGGCACTTTTCAGCTGCTTCCCTTGGATTGGGTGGAGTCACTTATGGACCAACGCCATTAACTTACATTAGGACTGACTCCATCAACACCATCGGGTACTTTGGGGAAGGCATCAAACAGCGTAGAGACGTACGTGATGACAGATTTTTCATCCGGGGACTGGACGTCGACATCTGAGGAGGAGAGTAAAAAACGCTCGTAAACGTAACACATGAGCTGTACTCAGAGGAATTATTCCTCGAGCCAGAATCCAAGTCTCCCTGCACATGATTTATGGCTTCATGGTGTTTAGGCATTTGCAGTGTTTTCGGAGTCAAAGTGATGCTGTGTGTGGACCTCACCCTCGGGGTCGAGCAGTCGAGCCACCCCCAGCTGTTCGGCCACACCAAATGCTTGTTCTAAATTTGACCTGTTGGTCTGTGCGGACACACGGCTCATGTCCACCAGGTCTGGTCTGCAAAAGACATGGACAGAGGAAGAAAAAGAGATGGGTAAGGCATGTGTGATGGGACAATTCAAGTGAAGAAATTCTGAGAAGATGCAATACTGAAAAGGCAAAGTGTGGGAGCAATGCATATACTTTAATGCTATGTGGAACACCCTGATGTTCTGTGCATGTTATAGTACCTGTATTTGTGTATGATGGCGTTAAATAGCCTCCCATCCCTCCAGGAGGTTGTGAAGTTATCACATCGTACCCCTACGTAGCCCTCCGTTATCTGCTTGGACCAGAGCAGTAGTCTCTCCTTGGCCGTCATGTCCTCGGACTCCCCTGTCACGTGGATCTCCGAGATCTGAAAAACAGTGTTGCAAAGTCTATTAAATCCACAATAAAGGGAGCGTGGTTTAGAGACACAGAAAATCTCACGCATTCATTCGTGATAAACCCCTCTGTGGCATTAAGACGTCACACTTACTGATATGACTGTTTACATAAGAAACAAGATATGCAGTGGTAACCACACGTGTTGGGATAAACAATACTCTTTCAACACCTTAGTGACTGAGAAAAGACAACATTTAAAGACAGTAAATATCTTGTACAGAGAAGACTCTGACCTTAATAATAACAAACGTATTTAACATTAGATAAGGATAAATGTTTCCTTGTCTAGTTCATTAACAGCTCTGTGCACACATGAAAAAGTCAGCAGCAGGTCAGCGATGTGTGGCTGAGTTGTGTAATGAATTACCCAATGGTTTTACAGCACACTAAACAGCATGAATATGACGTAAAACCAACAGTGACACTCAACAGATTGACTTCCAGAGAGTTCTTGGTGCACCTTGTTTATAAAATCCGCTGGTGTACGAAATATCTACTTTACTTAAGTAGAAGTACTTATACTACATTATGGAAAAATGTACTTAACCTTCTGAACTTCAAGCAGCTTCTGGACATTTTGTTTTTTTTAACCAACTATTCGTTCATAAAGACATGCACCTCTTTGGAAGCAGCACAACTCAAATACGTACTTGGTGCTGCAAAACAATGTAATAATGTCATATATCATGAAAGAAGAAAAAAAAATACTTCACTGAAACAAACTGGACTCTGCTGGTACAACATTTCCATTCCAAGTGCCCACAGGTGTTATCAACACTTGAAAATAAAAGAGTGACTGCATACTAATAGCTAACTTGATTTTACTGTTATTACTTTTCTTCTATCTGCTCTGTGTGAGCACAGGTTGCAGTTTATCTAATAAAACCCTGGATGTTTTGACACCTAAATGCTGGTCACTAATGGCTTTGTAGCTGTGTCAAGGAGTGCAGGATTGTTAGTTTTTGAAAGAATATGCTCAGAGAAAATAGTCACTTTTTGGATGCTTTTTAACAGATTTTGGTGAACTACCACGATTTTTGACATGGATTTGGTTAAGAGTCCAGAGGGAACTATACATCACTGATAACTAGTTCAAGGTTCGTCGGATTCAACAATTGTCTCTGTTTTTAAGGTTTGTGGCTCCGATAAATTATGCAATTTTGTTGGGTTTTCCTAAAGACAACTGGCCATACGAAGTCACCACCACTTTGGGAGGTTCATAGTATTAAGGCATCAAAAGTAAAAGTATTTATTCAGCAGAAAAAAATGGTCCCTGTCTGCATTTTACAATTATGTGATGATCTTTATGATTATAAAGATGGTTTTATATGGATTATTATTGGTGCTGCATTAATGTCCATGATGTACATCACTGCTGTAGGGGTTTAAAGTTGAGCTCATTTCAACTACTTTATATACTGTTTGGCAGTCTAATCTACAGTAAAACATCATATTCTATAACAGGGGTGTCAAACTCATTTTCATCCTGAGCCACATAAGCATTATGTTTGCCCTCAGTGGTCTAGTTAGAACTGTAAGACTGTATACATGTAATGACTCCTTAACATACTGGTAAATAATCGTCTCTGCATTTGATTATTATTTATTCTATGAACAAATATTGTGTATGCCTTTACCTAAAAGTAAAATATATATATAGGCACATTGTTGTGTTATTATAACATGAATTACAACATTATATTACGTGATATTATATTGCGTAAATCCGATTAATTTATTAGATTAGGAAACACACATCTCTCTCGGGCCACATAAAATGACGTGACGGGGTGGATTTGGCCTGCAGGCCTTGAGTTTGACACGTGTTCTATAAAACCATCTTATGTTTACAGCATTGCTGCCCTGTGAGAACCACATATCTGTAGAAAGTCACATTTTTGTGATTTCAGAAGAACAGTCCTGTTTTCTGGTTTGTGGCATTTGTGCATTTTCAGTTAATCCAAAAGAGTTAAAAAGATAATTGTTAAATATCTTAAATAGTAGGAGAATGTTCATCAGAACATTTCAAATTCGCAGTCACCAAATATGGAGTTGTGTGTGTAGATTCTCAGTCATCTAGGTCATGGTAATCCTAGCAGCTTCAGTAGAAAGCCACCGGAATTCTCTTTTGGTTTCTCTTTAGAAGTTTCACTTCTCATCCAAGAGAACTGAAGAAGCCTCTGGGATTAGAGGTGAAACGTCTTCAGGAGCCTAAAAAGAAGTCTAGTTGCTTTCTACTGAACTCCTAGGATTAACAAATATAGAATTACATGGTTCTCACTGAACAGGACGTGAATGAAAAGTTTAATCTTCAAAGCAACAAGGAACAACAGCTGTCACACAAATGCCGTAGAGTACAAAGTACAATATCTGTGTCTAAGATGTAGTGGAGCAGAAGTATAAAAGTTACACAAAATGCTAAAACTCAAGTAAAATACAAGCACTTTCGATTTGTACCGAGGTACAGTACTTGAGTAAACGTACTTTGTTATATTCCACCACTGATGACATCCAAACAATCTCTATAATATTGATAAAGGCCTTGGCAGACATTGTTCTCCTGTAATACACATATCAACAAGCCAGCGTTACAGAAACACTGCATGTTTCTATATCTCTGTACACGTTTTTTTTTCCATAACACAGAAAATTCTCATCCATCATATAGTTTAAACAAAACCAAGAAGCAAAGCAACCCAAAGTGAAGGATAAACTTCAGCCAGTCAACCAAACAATCAATAATTCCATCATTCAGTTTTGTAAGGGGATCTGATTTGCAGACATGTAATATCAGTAACACAAACAGTAACAACGTCCAACTGATCAACACACTATAGTTCAGACAAGACTAACACAAGTACAGCTCACAAAGTTCAGAAGAAAGAAAAAGGAAGATCCATCCAGAGACCAGTCTATCCAAATGTTATAACTTCCAAAGCATACAGGACTTTAACAGGCCTACAGCCAGAGAAACAAAATTGATTTAGTCCTTTTCATCAATCAAATTGGGACTCTAAAATGATGACCATGACAGTAACTCTGGAGTCTTGAACAAGAGATAAAGTGGACAAACCAGGCCACAGTCAGCCTTCCTACAAATGCACCTAATACAGACGTCAAAGAACGAAACCTGACTTGGTCCAGTAGTTTCACTGGACACTTTAAAAGACTGTGGTTTCCACAACACAATGCAAGGATAAAGGAGTTCACTAAGACTGCAATATAACAGTTACCATGGAGGGACAAACATTTTTTTTTTTAAAACTGAAGGAGAGATGCATTTCAGGATGAATACCATACATTTTCACACATTTCAGCCTCCTAATGACCCACTGCTGCCTCTATGATATCAAAATAGTTAGGAATGAATGACATGTTCTGAACACGCTCAACAAAACCGCTCCAAAAAATGACTCACAGCATATATCTGAATCCCTGAAACACCTGAAAACATCTACACCACATATTCAGACATTTAGAATCACATAAGAACAGTGAATATGTCTTATTTTTCACTGATAAAACTCCCATTTTCATTCCACACATATAACCATTGATGCAAAGTAACTGGCCATCTACCTCCTGGACTTCAACACAACAATCATTCAGCTCCACACTCACACAGATGGGCAGCGTGCATATTTAAAACAGCAGTCTTCAGATAATTTGATCACACATCCAAAAGACTTTGTTAAATAATCTTCTAGAACATGTGAGTTATTGTATGTATTGCATTGTTATGACTGGACACATAAAAAAACACCACAATAAAGACAAAAACACTCCAACAATCAACCATGCTGATAGGATATAAAAGTCTAAGAGGATATTAGTTCAACACAGTCAAGAGCCACCTTACTGCCACACTGACATGTATTTAAACACCACCTTTGCGATGTTCAGGTTACATTACGCCCCAATCAAACCCCTTATTATGAATCATCCCCATAATGGCTATAGATAGCACGCTCTTGGTTTACCTCGTGCTGGGTGGAAATACATTTGGCAGGAGCTGGGATGCAGTCTACGTAACCAGAGCAGGTGTAGGCCCTCCGTCTCCTCCTCCTGTGTGCTTGAGAGCCCCATATAATCTTGGCAAACGTTTCCTCACTCCCAGGTCTGTCACTACCCCTCAGAGTCCGCAGCATGTGCTCCACTGCTCCAAAGCTAACGGCCCTCCTTAGCTGGCGTCGCAGCAGCTTCTTTACAAGAAGACCATCCTTGGCTGAGACACCTCTGGACGTCGTGCTGATACCATGGAGCTTTGCTTCGACAGCAGACCTGCTCCTGTCAACTTCTGCCTGGTCTGCGGGAAACCATCCAGGCCTGCACGCTAACCTCGTGCCAAGAGGTTGATTACAAGGATCCCTGAGGATTAAAACCGGTACCTCTCCAACATAAACACCTCTGCTGATGCTGTCTTGCCTGGATAGATGGTTCTCCTTCTCCACCTCTGAGGGTTTACCCAGCATGGCTTGGTTCTCCTCTGAGTTTCCATCTTGAAGCTCTGCACGATTGCAGACGACCTGACTAGTTGTGTTTTCACTTACAGGACTCCTGAGAGATCCACCGGGCTTAAAATCCCCTGATTTCCTCTTCTTCCTCTGAAAGTAGCGGCGACCTTTGAGCTCTTTCGATTCGGGATTCAGTGGAGCTTTCTTCGGGTCCACATAGTGTTCCTCTTTAGGGCCCCGAACGCAGCCACAGATGTTTCCCATGTCTTGTCCATCAACTGTGCTGAATAGTTTTCAGGCAAAGTATCCAGTGAGCGCCACTCGGTCTGAAGAACCACTATCCCACTGACAGAAAGCCATTTTAACACAGCGCAAGTAGCAATAAGCAGTGGCAGCCCGGCAGACAGACATAAAGCTCGCTTTCCTCAGAGCAGAGTTGACGTCTTCCTTTCGTTGACTTTAGGAGACTCACTGCTGGGAACCGGTCAGCCTCTCTCTCTCTCCTTCTCTCCCTCTCTCGCGCTCTCTCTCCCTCTCTGCATTTCTCATTTGCTCGCTTGCTCTCTCTTGGGTCTCGCCTCTGACACTGGAATCTTTTCTGACCTTTGAAACATTTCTCCGGCTTCGCTAATACAGCACAAACACCATAAATGCACACACGGACGTGGCCCACGTGCTTATAGCTCTCAGCTGGGCAGGAATGAAAAAAAAGGCTTGTGGACGGACCTGTTTCAGTCTGGCTTCATCAAGAGAGTAAACATGTACGTCACAGTCTCCTGTTTCCTTTCATAATATTTGTGTGATGAGGCAGCACAGTGTCTGAAGGGAGGACGAGCTTTAAAACTGCAAGTGGACGCCAGCTGACGGCCACCTATTATTCTGTGAGAAATTTTGGCTCAGCAAGTTTGGCTGCATGAACCAGACGGTCAGAAAGGCTTTGAAAACCAGAATGGGATAGGTCAACGGGAGCAGCAGGAGCTGAGGCAAATCCAAGCTGGACAACAAAGTGCTTTCACTTTGTCTATTAATCAAGCTATGTCCGATGGCCCGGGCCAGAGGTGGGGCTTAAGTCCAATGGCTTAGACAAACACTATTATCTGAACAGATCACCACCGCCGCAGTTTGCAACAGGGCAAATGCTCCAACCAGGAAGAGATCCACAGTATCAAACCACTGCCACAAGCCCTCTGCAGAGGAATCTAGCAATACTTCAAGGGCAAAAAGAGAATAAAAACTGTAAATATAGTGCCACCACACCGCTCAGCTAAAAATAGCCGTGTGCTACTGTGAGCTTACAATATTTAAACGTCAATGAAGTTTCCCTGAAGGTCAAAGTCACCTGACAGTCAGCACAGTTCAAACTACAGCGTACTGATCACCCCTGCCTCTCCTTATGTTGGTCAACCTACCATTCACTGCAGTATTAGACTTTATTTGTACGTATTTTAATTAAATGTAGCTTATTAGCATTCAATATTACATAGCCTCAGACAATGTTTTAGTAACAGTAATAAAAACAACATGAATGAATCACCGATATATGTCTTTGTGTTAGGTAGGTGGCAGAACAATAGTCATCACACACAGAGAAAGTAACACTCAGGGCAACACAAACAAACAAGTCAGACAAGCATTGAAACACCTGACAGCAGTGCTTTGTCACGACGGTGCTCTGTCACCCACAACACTCCGCCCTGAGTCCCGGGCAAAAATACACCGTGAACACCATTCTGAAGAATACAATAGTGTCTGCTTTGTGTATTAAATCGAACTCTGTACCTGTACAGACATGATTGAACCACGCACAGTCTCTGAAACACCTTCACAAAACTTCAGCAGTAAAACAGTAAAGCAGCCACGAGGTAGAGAGGCGAGGCAAAACTTTTATATAAGTCGATATCAAAAATTAGCCCGCAGCAGTGAGAATAGAAGGCACACAACGTCTCAAACAAACAACGTCTGTCTATAAGACAAGAGCTGATCCTGAATACTTCTGGCAAAGTCAGTCATACGAACGTATATCATATGAAAATAGTGCGCAGTTCATACATGTCGGCATGCTGTTGGCTATGCTTATTTAATAAAGCTAAAGGTCTACGCTGTGACTGAAGTTTAACATTTTCTCCTAAGTATCCTGGTGCCCTTCCAATTCAAGAAGAAACAGGCCCTTTGCTGCTGGATAAACCACTCGAGGGCTTGCGTGAGACCGACAGCAGCAGGTGTTGGCATCATCGCAGACGCTACCTGTCAGCACGTCGGAGTCCAGGCAAAATTGTATTAGCTACTTTTCAATTCATTGAGAGTTTTAGTCACACATATGCATGCTTGTTCTGAAGTAGCATGTTAACTCACTACCATGGTAAACAAAGCCAGACATCTGAAAGACACAGACTAATATTTGTAATATCCGTGTCCCTGAATCACAACTGGCATGTGCTAAAGATGTGAATAATCTAATAAAAGTCAGGGAGGAGAGGAGGGGAGGGGGAGAGAAATAGAGAGTGTTTCTGCATGCTGTTAGATTACGAATCATCCTTGAATACTCTTGTGCACACCTGGACACTCCTGGCATGCACATAGAGACTAACCCACATGAACTGGTTCGTGTCACAGTAATAAAATGTGAAGAATTCCCAGAGAGAACATCCAGCAAGATATATGGACTCAGCTTAGAGCATCCTGAAAACCATCACAACTCTCTAAAGCTTTTTTTTTTTTTTTCAAATAAATGCACACTAATGCTTGGCCGGTCCAGTAAGTGCACCAAAGTTTCACAAAATTAAGCTACAGTTCTGTTGTCCTGTGAAAAAACTGTACACCAAGGAGATTCTGGGAAATAACCTATCACACAAATTACAATGCTTTTCTTGCACAGATAGAAAAAAAAGAAGATCTTTTCAAGCCATTTCCCTCTGCTTTTAAATGCCAAGACATTGTGGCTACAAGCAGCTACCTGATGTTAACTGGTCAAGCTGCAACTTGAGCGGAGTCAAACATGAACTAAAGTAAGCTATGCATACACTTAACATATTATTTTACTCTGAAATCCCCGACAAATGCAACAGTAATCCCATCACTCAGCATGACGTATGCTGCACAGCTTTGACACCTTGTGGTCAAAAGCAGGAACATCTATGTCATGGGTGCATTTAAACGCCTCAGTTGGGAGGGCATTTGGCATAACGCAGTTCGATCCTAAAACATGCCAGCATTTCTGTTGCACTAAAACACCTTTCAAGAAAACTAACTGAAAAACCATCTGCATTAACGTACTGAAAATAAGCAACAGAACAACACTGAGCAGGAGGCAAAGAGAAAAATAAGTTCAAAGTTAACAGCCCAGTCTGCTCATCTGTCATGTGTATTACAAGAACATTAAACCTGGGTAACAAGATGCCCTAATTACCCACCATTGAAAGCATTCAAACTATAAAACAATAGAATGGGAACACTGACCTGAAAGTGCAGAATTATGGTCCAGATCAATCCCAGGGTCAGTTTTGGGTTGCCATCTGTGATGTCGTCATTCCTGATATTTACAAGTTTGACCTGATGAAAGAAAATGTACAATCAATGAGTGCATATTCACAATTTTACAATATCTCTAAGTATTCAGTGAGTTTTTACATTAGTTTTCACCTTCACATGTATTCGTTACATTAATTAAGTACAAATTATGAATGCAAGTGTTCATCTATTTTGACTTACACCTGTCATTTAAACACCACCACAAGGTGGCACAATAGTCATTATATTATTCCAGGGAACACTGTTACGGTAATCACAGTGTTGGACGAAGATAAACACTGAGCATTAGTGATTTCTGCTAATTAAATGTTAAGAACCCGCCACTTATCAAAGTGAATAATCGTGCATTTAATGGTATCCTTCATATAAAGCATGACATAGGAAGCAGCGTCTGAACACAGTCCTGGTATAATATAGCAGTGAATAATTTATCCCTCCACTGCCAGCCTGATCATCTGTAATAACTGTAATCAATCAGCTGCAGGGGGAGATTTAGTGAAGATCAAACACTTAGATCATTTCACATCCTATGAGTACGGAGGATGCATGAATGTGTCTGGTATGTACTCTTGCTAAAACAATAGAACAACTCATTTGTGACCATCTATGATTCCTTTGTCTCGAGCCTTACGTCACATCTGGCTACGGCTCAACGAGGCTGTGTTCTTCTTCGCATCCTGAGGGTGGCGGGGGAGGGGAGGCCAATCAAAGCGCTTTGAAATCCCACTGATGGGATTTGTAGTCAGCGCTCCTTAAATGCTGCTATTACTTGTGGCAACTGAACTGAATTGTAATTTTTGCAAGGAAAGCCAAAAAAATAAATGACGTGAGTCCAACAGAGTGTGATGTTGAAGAACTGGCAGCGTCTGAGTAGTCACTGGGGCGGACTGAACCCAGAAATTCAGTCTGCTGCCGACTGCCACCGTATTACATATGCACCTTTGGTTGCATTTGTTGCCATTCTGGTTACAAATGAACCAATAATAATGTGATGCAGCTCCCAGAAGACTAACTGCAAACATTAATTGATATGTAAACTATTTAGCTGCAACATTTCATAATAAATAATACATTACTCCACCTCAAAGTGTGAAAATTCCAGATGAATAATGTGGACTTTCACTTGGTTATGGCTATGAATCAGTAAAGGATTGATAGTGTTTCAGCTTTAACTGCACACTGACTGCCAGTGGTTTATTGTGGCAGTTGACAATTTAACCCTCTGAACCTAAAATGTGCCGGCAGGTTTGAACGGCATGTGATTGTTAAAAAAAATAATAAATCACCAAAATTATACTTTATATTTAAGCCATAAGGTGTAAAAACAGAAAAAAAAATGAGTGGATTCCATTCCATCAGGAAAAATAACCAAACCTAAAATGTATGATATTTAATCTACATCACTCTATTCTACGTGTTTCATTTTAAAATATACCAAAAACAGTCAATCGAACCAAATACTGTGAAAACCAAAAGATTCTGCACTCCTCTGCGCAGCTGAAAAGTCAGAATTGGCTCAGTTAAGACCACTTGAAAAAAATTCAGACTTTTCAGCTGAATTGCAGGCTGTGTTTACACAGCACGGAATGGAGTTAAGTATGAAAACAAATTAAAAATTTAAGTAATAAACTATCTGTAGTATGTTGAGCCACCATTTTTCCAATGTTGATAACACCTGAGTGCATCTGGGAAAATGCTGACTCCAGGTTGTTGCATTTTTTTTTTAAAATTTTTGTAAGATAAATAATAAAAAGAACTTTCACTTTCATTAAAAAAAGGGAAAAAAATGATGATATTATCCCAGTGCACAACTGCACAGAAGACATTTTTCCAGAGGGGTGGAAGACTTTATATTGCAGTAAAAAATGAGCCCACACTGAGTAAAAATGTGAGCAAAAAGCAGGTACAAACAGTTTGGGGTTCAGAGGGTTAAAACATGTCTGATAACACGGGT